TCTTTGCTATGTGCGCCACTGTGTTCAATATACACCCGTTTTACTCCACGCCGGACGATCCGATATACTAATATTCTATAAGCCAGTGGGGAGGTTCATTCGATTGAAATGCTCTTCTCGTACCATAAAGGAAGAGTGATTTATCACAAATCGACAGCCCAATTTCTAAGATTTTTCTGTTTAATACCGTCGTTCGACCCCAGACGAGTAACTAGTAGGAGATCGTACTGCGACGTGATATCTTTAGTATGTCTAGTGACATCAACATCGTCTACATTAATCGCCTACGTCAACACCCTGGCTCAGATAATCCCAGAAAATTACCTAGTGATATTTTATTTGCGCTGCATCACCAGACTCATGGAGCTATTCGCCGTGTATTATATGATCTACCTGTCATGGATACGACCGCAAAAATGGCGGGATTTATTTAGGAGAATAATTCCCCTTCGAGAGGATTACGAGGACGAAACGCCACGTCGCCCAGGCGTGTTTTTTCTAATCACCAACGTGGTGTTCTTTGGGTTGGTGAGTATTTCGATGCTGCTCAACCCGTCGTTCGTTGCGCTCATACTCGACACCTGTTGGTTTTACTACATCGGGTTCCTGCAACTGAGTCTATTCGGGAACTTGGTGGGGGTAATAAACCACAAATATCAACTGGCGATAGGCATGGTGAAGAGTTGCGGGCAATCTCAAAACACCGAAATATTGAAGAAAAGTGGTGTCGTTTATCTTGAAGCAGTCGATTTGTTGCACAGGGTGAACGACTTGTTTGGTAAAAATATGACGATTGCTTTTGTGCATTCCTTCGGCAGCATGCTCCTCTTGGTGGTCGCGTTTGCGGAAAAGTCGTCGGAGTTGGAATGGGCGAAATTCTATTCCTTCTTCACTTGTTTTGCGGTATCTGTTTGGTAAGTAAAATATTTTAGTCTAAGAGCCAGTGGGCGGCTACCTGCATGTATTTGACCAAACCTGGGTTTTTGTACATTGAGGCCCCTAGACCTACTATACATGATGTGGGACCCACCAAGCCCACAGCGGTGGACCCAGGTACTGCGCAGGTAAGACAGGTATTGATCCGAATATATTTGATAAAGAATTAATTTTTATCAACATACCAGGGACATTGGTAATTAAGTCGCTAACAAAAGATGGAAGTTGATCTCCATCGTACCATTTAAAGACAAACGTGTTGTCCTGCTCAATCCAACCATACTCCAATGGGTCCAAGGTTGAAGGTAGCTTTTTGTAAGCGTTTTTCGAAATAGTTAAAATGTAATGAGCTCTCAGAAGTTGTTGGTAGAGTTCACTCTTACATGGCATTGGTGGTACGGTATTGAGGTTGCGTCAAAATTTTGTATTTTTTAAATAAAATTTTTATTCACATCCGAAGCTTTGTAACTACTCGCGGTACTACAGGGGGTCCTTCCACCAACGAGTGATCTAATTCAGCACCAATATCTTTTTCTACGACTCCATCTGTCTCAGAAACGTTTACGTCTTTTACAAGACAATGAAGTACTATTGTATCATCAGTTATTGAGCTATCAGCTAATGTTGATAGTTGTTCAGTTGCAGACGACGACGTAGTGGGTTGTAATACAGCTTCTTTGTTGAGATTGGTTGCATTTCTTTTAAGCCGTAAATGCTTTGTAACAACTACTGTGATACACAGAATCAAAAATTTCGTCTGGTAGAATTATTTCGTTGTATTTTAATTTATAAAGTTTTCTTAACCTCAAAATTAGTGGACATTTTTCCATCTCTCTCTCTTTTTAAATGTCAATAATTTCTCAGTCTTTGCTGTGGCACAAAAAACACACTTCACTAGTTCTTTTTCACTCGAATGTCAGAGGTATTTAACGAACAATAGTTTAATTAAAGAAAAATAACATAAAGCAACACTGTGTATTTTATTAAATTCACTAAACACGAGGCATCTCTATAGAGATTCACAAACATACTGAAAACATCTGACAAAAACCGTTAGTTAGGTTAGGATTACAACAGAGCCATCTCAGGTATAAACCCTAAATTATTTAAGTGGTAGTAGCTATAAAATAAAATACTATAAGCTGGAATGAGTAGAATAGTAATATGTTCTTAATATAAGTTTTTAAAACTATAACGAATAATATATCTCCATGGCAGATCTGGTCAAATACTTTCAAAATTTTAATTTTTTGAGCAATTTCAGAACTGTCTGCCATAATGTTAACCGCATGCTAATGGTCTGCCATTATTATTTTTCGATAATAATAATAATATATTTTAAGATTTCAAAACGACAGCCGTGGTCAAATATATTTAAAATCATGTATAGTCGGTATAGGGGCCTCAATGTACAAAAACCGAGGTAGCCCACTGGCTCTTAGACTATGTGTGATTTCCCCGATTAATAAGGAAACTAGTATCTTCTCGTTACTTCTACGCCCCCGTCCGCCGGGGGAGATGACGATATAAAAAAAATTACAGATGCCTAACCATAAATATGTTATTAAATATCGAAATCGCTATTTTCCAAAAATATTGAAGGAGTCTAAACTCACATTTTCCAATTTTTTTGAAATTTGATTTTCTTATTATACCTTCATTTTTTACACATTTAATATTTTTTCAGGTTTAAGTTTGTTCGGAAAACTGTTAGATTTTTTCAATCAATCAAAATATACCGTGATTTTGATACATTATTTTGCGATATTGTCAATTATGAAATTATACACAAACATTAAACATTGACGATAGTTTAAGATAATGTGTCAGAAATCACAATTCATTTGACTAAAGAAATACAACTATTTAATGCCCTGAGAATGGAAAAACAGAGTGCCGAAACGTCGGAAACAAACCTAAACGTCACCCTATTTTTAAAATTTTCTTTTGATATGGATTTTAAAATGATCACGCAGAGCGAATTTTTTTTTAGTCCGGTCCTGTGACTATCGGATTCATTTGCGACACCTCCAGACGCAAACACAAAGAACTAAGGAAGGCCTGTTTTGACCTCGAATCTCGACTTGAGTTCGATTCGTCGGGTAGCGAAGAACTTAAAAATTTGCTTTATACCGTCGACCATAACGGATACTGTTTTACCGGCGACGCATATTTCGAATTCAACAGTTCGACCATCTTCGACTTACTGCACCAAGTCGGTATCTATTTCGTTGCTTTGCTGCAGTTTTTGGATGTCAACCCAAGAGTGGTCGAATTAAGATGGATGTTTGGTAATCAGAAAGAGTCCAATAATGGAACTGCTGGGATTTAAATATGAATCTATTTTATAGTCTATGCTTCGTAGAAAACGCGAACGTAGTAAAAATTTGTGAAATTCAAAATAAATAAAATCATAAAAATAAAATTTCGGCTCATATTTCTATTACCAATTAATAAATTTAAGATTTTTTTAATCAATGAAACAAACTTTTTTTGTTTAGTACCTTCATTTGATACCAGGCAAGTAACGACGTAAAAATGGCGGGATTTATGAAGGAAAATTACACTTGGTAGAGAGCATTACGGGAAAGAGACCTTGTCGTTTTTTTTATCGCCAACTTGGTTTTCTTCACGCTCATTCTCGACACTTGCTGATTCAAATATTCCGGGTTCCTGCAAATGAGTCTATTCCTGAACTAGATGGGTGTAGTAAACCGCAAATATTAACTGGCAATGGACACGGTTAAGAGTTGTGGTCGATAACTAAACATTGAAGAAAAATGATGCTGTTTATCTCAATGCAGTCGATCTGCTACACACTTGCTGTTGTTTGGCGGTAATTTGTATGGTAAGTAAAATATTATAAACCTATAAAATATGTAATAAATTTCCCTTATTAATAAGGCGAGTAGTTTTTCTTATTAATTTCTACGCCCTTTCTCCAGCGAGGAGATTTTGACGTATCAAAATTACAGATTTCTAACTAGCCCTAGAAATTCCTAAGTAGATATGTTTTTATATATCTAAATTGCTAATTTAGAAAAAGTATTGAAGACCACCCGAACTTTTTTTTGAAAATGTATTTTCTTGTTGATTTTGTACAATTATTTCATTTTCTTAGTTATTATTATTTTTATTTGTTTATGTATATAATCTTTGTTTAGGGTTTATGTTTCCTCATTCCATCAAATCATAAAGGATCGTGATTTTGACAACATTGACGAATATTTAAAATAAGAATGTTTTATATTTCGTTGTACTGAAGGATTGAAAAAATTTAATGCCCTGAGGATGGAAAAATATAAGGCCGAATCGACTACAGCAAACCTAAACCTCAACAAAACAAAAATTGGGTTTAAAACCGTCACGCTTAATTCTTTATTGAATTTTTGTTGAACATAAAATTATAATCCGCGATATCTATTTTTATTGCGGTAACAACGGGATTCATTTAAGTCACGTCCAGACGGAAACACAAAGAATTGAGAAGAACGTGTTTAGAGCCCGAAACTCTACTCGATTTCAATGTGTTGGATAGGGAAGGCCATCTTCGACCTGTGGAACCAAGTCGGTGTTTGTTTCGTCGCTTTGCTGCAGTTTTTGGAGGTCAAGCCAATAGTAGCCCAATTAAAATGGACGTTTGGTAATCGTAGGGAAAATGTGTGAAAAGGTAAATAAATAAAATTATAAAATGGTGGCTCACATTTTCGTTTCTACAAAATAAATTTTCCGGTAGCACGTCACTTTTATTTTCAAAACATTAAAATGGAAGTTGCAAAATTCTGCCATAAGTAATGCAAAGATGCAAATTTTTAACTATTGTTAAAAAAACACTTTTGAAAACTCACATGTGTTTTTTCGATGTATTTTCGAAAAAAACTAACACTTTAAGGAAAAAAAATAGTAAAAAATATTGATGCAGACGTTTTAAAAGCCGAATATTAAATGTAATTTTATTAAAACTGACGCTTTCAAAATATTTTATATATTATTTAATACTTTTAATAATTTGTTACACATTTCCAATGGCATTATTATCAAAGGGTTCAAATGAAAAAACTTACGAGTGCTGTTGGTGTGTTTCCTCCTGGTTTGAGCTAACGCGTAGACTACGGCTGCCAAAGTGCTGTAGTTGCTAGCTTGCCTCTGGAAACTGGGGGGTCTCGTCACCTGGCGGCCGACTACGAAGTAGGTCTCCATCAGACCCTTGCCTTTTACATCGATTATGCCCCGCTTCTTGAGTTCGTAACCTCTGACTCCCAAAATCTGCAATTAGGACAAATCAACATGCGATAACGGAAAATTATTGTAAAGGAAATTTTAAAAGAAAAAATATGAAAACACCTGCTGCCTAGAGGACAATTTAGAGAATCTAGTTTTGATGTTCTATTTTTTGTTATTTGGTGGGTGGCGTTTTGAACATACTGAAGCAATACAGTAGCTAATGAAAGGTCATTGCGGAGTTACTTTGTATAAGTGGTGTAAAAGTTTCGGGTTGAGAAAGTTATATCCATCTAAGAATTACCTGCATCGAACACTTTTTCTACACAAAAAAGAGCGAAGAGATTTAGACAAAACAGATCGACCAACTTAACTTAAGACAAATTGCTGAAATGACCGTAGAGTGAAATAAAACCGCCTTTATGTGCTTTATAGATCTAACGCAAACATTTGATAGGGTTATAATTCATGACATTCTTCCTAATAGCGCAAGTGTAATGGTAAACAATAATAGCCTGTCGAAATTACCAAAAAATCTCGGCACCTTCTATCTCTAGACAAAATAAATCGCTCATTTTCGAAAAGACCGGATTTCATAAAACTATTAAGATTCAAACGCACTACGAAGACCAATAATTCTCAAAAATAATTACTAACCAAATGTTACACGTGTTTCGGCCAGACGGGCATCACTAGACTTATAGAAGAAATTTTTAAACCCGCACAGACACAAATTGGGATTACACCGAATCCGTTTGATTTAACAGAGATCTAAAAAAGGAAATAAAAAATATAGTAATTTAGAAATACAAAAGCTCATAACAAGATTACACCTTGCACCTGCAGTTTATATTATTAAAAATGAATATCGACTCACAATTGATAACGTCATTAACCCAATCACACTTTTTTCTTGAGAGATAAGTTGATAAAGATGAGTAGCAGAAGCAGATTTGGTCTATGTAACATCAGTACCCTCGTACATTTTGACCAAACTAAGATGTTCCTGAATCCTGTCAAACTCTCGGACATGAACTGCATTAGAATCCTCATAGTTGAGATATTTTTAACCAATGATCTAGAACAGTCTATTGGATCGTCAGCGATTTTATTATCAATTGTTTTAATTTATTGTTTGTTTTCAACGTTATTGATACATTACGCCTACAGAACTCCTAATGTTTATCAATTTTTATTTTAAATAAAATGAAATAATAAACAAATAAACTTATTTTTCTACTCCTGTCTGTAAAATACCTAATTACACACCGATCTAGTGTGCGGGAAGCGTCACTTTACCATGTCAGTTTCGTTTCCCACGGATTCGAGCCACTTCGGACATTTCCGGGATTTTACAGCACGGGTTTGAGAGCAATCGGATGTTTTCGGAGATTTATCAGTGATTGTATTCGTGTTGTTTTACGAAAATGTACCCAAAAATTCACGGTCGTAGAAAAAGTATAGTATTCAACAGGTTCGGAAAATTTTTTAAGTCACTCGTTCATTGGCTGCGCTCCGCTCATGCCAAATAAACTCGTGAGTCAAATGCCATTTACCGCACTTATTGCATAATATACTATTACCGTTGGAGAAGAAAGTGGGGTAACATTACTGTTTCGTGACTTTGTATTAGTTAGAAAAGATTAAAGAATTGAACTTGAGGTTATCAAAAAGTAATACAATTTTCCTTCAACTCTCCATATTCTCATACATTTACCTCTTTTAATTCCTTATTCTTTGTTAACATTCCACTTTCGACGGAAGTATTTATTAAGAAATTGACGACACTATTTTATTTTTTTTACATTTTTTTAAAGGTTTGATGATATCGGTGTGGATAACACAAGTGTACATTTTGTAATTAATTATTTTGAGAGCTTATCTTCGGAATGAGTTTGAATCTATAGGGTTTCATCTGTGATTAGGTCATATTTTAGCAATTAAACCCCACTCCCCACTATTCATGTCGTCAGCAGATATTTAAGTCCTCAGTTTCAACAAGCACCCTGAAGTAGTTAGCAGCATGCATGGCGAAACGTCAGCAAGATAAAGTTAATACCCAAATAAATCCCTAGGGAGTGTGTCTATATGTTGTACTGCCTGCAGAAGTCTCTTTAAAACAAAAATAAGTTGTTAAATCGCATAGTTTAAAGTTAATATCAAATAGCACAACGTCAAACTGACAACATTATTTTCTTTTTACAATGACTCATAAAAATATCAGGTTTTACTGATGAGTTGTATTGTGATCACGGAACATAAGCACGTTGGTATTTCTGACATTTTCGGGCGACATTGCGACTTTAGCGTCGCCGAGATTTAAAGTAGAACCGTATATATATCCCCTCCCCGAACTGTGTATTGACGAGTAACTTTGAAATCACATTTTTTAAATTATTTTCCGTCTCACTAACTTGGGCAGTTTCCTTGGGTACTTGAACGTAACCCATAAGTCCGGTCGAGTCCATCCGCGAGGCCAAATTGACGGTGTCTCCCCAAATGTCAAACACAGGTTTCCTAGCCCCGATCACGCCGCACACTAGCGGCCCGCAAGCTATTCCAACCCTGATGCCGAAACTGTTAAACGAGTCTTTGTTGATATCCTCTAGCTTCTGACGCATACATATGGCGTAGTCGACCAGCGCGCAGAGGTGTTCGACCCTGTCCGAATTAAGGCAATCCTAAAAACTAAAGCGTACAACCAAATCGCTATGGCCGTGGGGCTGGGATCACCTTGTGAGTCGGATTCAACCCGGAAGCGGCCATGTAAGTTGCTGTCGCGCTCACGGTTTTTATTTTCTCGATGCTACTGAATCGATCTTCGTCGAGGAGTTCATCGAAATCAGCTACGGCAATGATAACCCTCATTAAATCGATTAAATGATAAATTACGATTAACGAAGTGTTACCGATTATTTCGTTGAGCAGTCTTATGCATTCCACACCTTTGTTTATTTTCTCTGAATAGAAGTCTGTGAAGTTGGGGATGGTAGCGAAAAGCACGCCCACCTCTTCCCGATATTGGGCGAATAGTTCCTGAAATAAGTAAAAAAGCGAGGTGAAAAAGAGGAAGAGCGAACTTATAAAATTTTTTGATTGGTTACTGATTATCGGTCTGGCTGAGTTCTTTAGATTGTTATCAGTGTATATTTTCGTTTTTTGCTTTGGTTCATTAGCGTAGCTTCACACGTGGCAGCGGGGGCAACCCGCCGGAGAAAGGTACTGTTTCCATTTCATCTAATAGCCTTTCGAAGCCCATAACTGATTTCGACCTATTTCAAGAACAATTAAAGTCGTCGCAAACTTCCATTTCTGCAAATGGCAATTTTCCCTCAGTTTTACCCCTTTCTCGAAAAGTCAATAGAACTGCTCATGACATTAGTCAACAGCAAGATTTATTGGATACTGAATTGCAAGCTCTAAAATCTAACCTAGCAGGAAACGAGGATGCCATGAACGAAATAGTCAGAATCTCAGCCAACATAAGAAGAACTCTAAATAGAAAAAATAAATACGAAATGGCAGATCAGGGTCCATTCCTTATAATAATGGAAAATGTAGCCACCCAAGTGGCGGGCTAAAATAAGATTGGCATAGAATTTCAGAGGTCTTCAATAGGTTTGATTGAAGATATAGCGCAATCACGGAAGATGGCCAACTCGGAAGCGACAGCGCGTTCAAGAGAAGGATCCCGACCTAGATTAATATGTTAATAATGTTATAATACGTAATACGTTATAATATGTTAATAATAAGTTAATAATGTGTGTCAATTGTTCTAAATTTGGACATATGAACTGTTGAGGCTATCATCGGTGTGGATTCTGTGCAGAGAACCACCTGATGTTTATATGCGAAAAAGGACCCTGGCCATGGAAAAAATAAAACGTCCCATACAACATACTAATAACCCCACTAGGAAGTGGGAAAATTGTGAAATAAATCCTAAGCCAATATCATAGACATAATTCTGCCACCAACTGGGGGTACCAGGAAAGCATCAGGCAGAAACAAATAAATGAAGCAATGAGTTTCTATAATCTGTCTTTTTTTGAGGCATCACGATTACATTCTACATTAACAAGGTTCACATCGATAGTGAAGAGAAAAAGACCTATTGTCCAACACACCCATGACAAAGATACTCACAAGCAAATGTTGTTACGCTCCACATCCAGAATAACAATGATTCCTTTGCTAACTGGAAATAACTCCTCTCACGAGTCGAAACGAAATAACTCCACAAGGGAATGGATCGAAAGAAGTTCGAAGCTTTCAAGAAGGATATTTTGCCTATCAAGAATATGGATGAAGAGTATCGGAACAATATCAGATGCTTCTTTGAAGAAACGGACCTACAGAGGGGGGCTGTTCGACAGGTAGCGGCTGACCTTAAAGGTAAAAAAAGGAAACAAACAAACAAACAGACAAACTCTCAAAGACTTATACACATTAGTTTTAAAGCAAATAGCAATGGATACTTGAGAATAAGTTAATAGGGGTTGATTTTAGGTCTTGGTGCAATTGAGTATGATAAATGTGATTCACTAGAATATTCGTGGGTTAGAAAAAAATAAGATCGCCATTGTTAGAATTGCAATGGATTATTCCTAACAAATATTATTGCTAAACAAGTCCCTTCTCAAACCTATCACTAACTTAAATATCGCTAGGTTTTCCTCGGTAAGAGTAGGTAAACCAAATGGGGTGGATGGAATAGCAATCTTCTTCAAGAACACCGTTAAATATAATATCATTGACTTGAGAAGAGTCAACATACCAGAAAGATGAAAGGTTATTTTGGCTGAGCTTCAGAAGTTTTTTGCCTCCCAACAGTTGCCCGGTTCGGGAAAACCTGGATTCCATCTTTAATATAACTTTTAATAAATCAGTCTTTTTCACAGGTAATTTTAATGCACAAAACCCAGCATGGGGTTCTCAAGTAGCCTATTCGAGAAGAGTTAGATGCTTTGTAATTTCATTATGGATAATAACCTCCGTATAATAGGCTAGCGACCCGCCTCACGCAAACAGGTTTGCTTAACACGAGGGATGTGGATTTTTGTTTCCAACGATTACCAGTAATATGTGAATCCCAGATCCTTCTTCTTATGATTCATTGTTAACAATGATGATTTGATGATACATTTCTCATATAAACACAATTTTAAAAAAGCTGATTGGGATAAGCTTTCCGTTTTGTTATCAACTAGAATTAGAGAGTCGCCGCTTAGGGACCATGAGTATTTTGAAGACATTATTTCCTTAACAAACCTTCACGTAACTATGGTTCACCTTGGTAGGATTTTAAATGCTTAAATGAAAGAGGCAGGAAACAGAAAAGGGATCGTTCAGAAGAATTAGGGCTCATACAAGGCAACAAGGTAAGGCAGGTTTCACAAATGTTTGCGAGAACCTTTGACCTACTACTAGTGAAAAAGAAGTTTGGAAGAATATTTGTCGCTTCTCTAAACGTATTAAATGCCAAAGTCATCTTGCTCTACTAGATCCCACAAGAGATGCTGGAACTACTGTCGCAACCTGGTGTGACATTTCAGAATACTAATTGACATCAGAACAAACGGAAGATTTTTGCATATCCGAATTTATTGCTGAGTAAGTGTTGTGGAGTGGGTAAAATTCCATTTGATGTACTATGGCATTTACTTATAGAGAGAACATTATTTCTAACAGATTTCTTTAAAAATTTTGCCAAGGGAAGTTTCACTTCCGGAGACATGGGAAACAAATTGTGATACCTATTCGTAAACCAGGGAGAAACCATTTAGCCTTATCGTCATAACTTGGATTCATGCATTGGCAAATCATTTGAAATTGTGTTCAAGAATAGATTGGAATGGTTTGTTGAGAACCAACGACTAATCGACGATCGTCAAACAGGCTTTAGAAAAGGCAAAGGAATTTCCGACAACCTGGCTGTTCGTTCCCGCCTCGAAAATCCTTTGTAGTTCGGCTGGTAATCAAGTGGTATCGGTGTTGGCCAAAATGGGATTATCGAGAGATGACCTTTCTAATCAAGAACTTGTTTTCTAATAGAAAGACCCAAGTTAAAGTTGCATCTTCATAGCTGGCAGAACGACGAACAAGGGAGTCCTCCAAGGTTCCCCTCTTTCACCTTTATTGTTTAATATATGTATAAACTCAAACATATTAATCCGGAGAAAGTAGCTCTTTTACAATTCGCCGATGACATTGCACTACTAAGTACCGCTGTGGATACCCAAGAAATAGCAAATAATTTGAAAAGAGTTTTACACAAAGTAAACAACTAGTCTTGAAATGTAGGACTAACGACTAATGCCAGACGGAATCAGAATGGCAATAATCTTCCACTTATTTACCTAAACACCCAAATGATTCTGTGAAAAAATAGCAATCCTAGGAGTAGTATTTGATTCAAAAATGTCATGGGAGCTACAAATTAGAAATATGCTACAGAAAGTATCAGAAGGATTGAACGCGATGCGGTTTATCAGCAAGAACTGGTGGGGATCATACTTCTCTGCAATCCTTATATTCTATAAGGCTTATATTAGATCACATTTGGACTACGGAGTCATGTTCTTGGGAGGATCCTTAAAGAAGTCTATTGCGCAGTTAAACAAAGTTCAGTTTGAAGTCTTGATAATGGGTTTGGGTTATATAAAATCTACACTTGCTGGGAGAATCATATTAAATAAACCTGGAGCATCGAAGATGGGTTTTAGCTGCAAAAGGCATTAGGTCAGTATTTACATGCTTCTCTTATCAGTAACAGAATCCATCAATATACTTGACCTAAGACTGAAGAAGAAAGGTGACAACCTCAGGGTCTTTCAACTGTTGTTTACAGATGCTTCTAAGAACAAAGAGGTGTGACACTTGCAATCCAAGTTCTCCCTGCAGACGTATCGGCTGAAGTTAACGCTATTGGACAGGCATTAAACCGGATCAAGTTCAGAAATATCGAGAAAGCGGTTATTTTCTCGGATTCCAAGGGTTGGCTTGAAGACATCTATAGAATAGGAATGAACGCTAAGTCAAACTACTCGTCTTTGAGCGTTAAGAATAAATTAATGACAATTATTGTATGAATCATTTACTAAATCAAACATTTTGTGATTTAGTCGTCAAGTAAGATGATGGTTTCACTCAGATCCTCTACGTAGAGGCATCCTTCTTGAATATAGTAAACTGCACACCACTTCTTGAGAAGTTGGCCGAAATGCCCCAGAAGCAGTGGATAAATAAGGTGTAAAAAAAACTATTGTAACGTGAAATGAGTTTCATTCAGAGCTAACTAAGGAAATGAAATATATGTTTATGAAACATTGGGGAACAAATGTATTGTAGTTTGAACTACAACCGTTTGTCACTAGGGTAGCAACAAACGAAAACCAGAACTGTTATCCGTCATCATGACCATTTTATATTTAATGTGTGTCAAAATGGGTAACACTGTAAGTAATATTTTACGTCGTTGCAGTTTATGCAGTTCCCGCGAAAATGTTGGCACCCCTTTTTTTTGTACCCTGTATATAGCATGGTGAAATTTGGCATGCACGTATATAATTGAAATATCTAATTTTTGTCATAAAAACAATATGTCAAAATGACAGCAGGGCGCCATTTTAAGATTTTTTATAATTGTAAGAGGGGTCATGTGATACCTCTTTTAAGAGGTCACTTTGTATTCGCATACCAATTATGAAAACATTTGATTGGTCAGTTCTTGCAAAACATAAAAACAATTAATGCTAGAAACCACTTTATTGACAGCCTTCACTATTGCTAAAATGCACAAGGCTAATTTCTAACATTTAATAAAATAAAATAATTTAAGCTAAAGACCTTTAAAAAAAGGTATCACATTACCAATTAAATAAAGTTTTTACGTCAAAAATTAGGATACAGAAAATAAAAGGGGCGTCCCATTATTTATGAGGGTACTGTATATGTAATTTAATATTATTGTAATATGTGTAGGAGATATGTTTGTTAGATAGGTTTTTCTATCTATTAATATAAAATTCATATAATTGTTTGGTGCATTGGTCAGTGTTTTATGAAACGAAGAAATCCATAGTTATTGATTAGTGCTAAAATTTCTTGTGGACATTCCGTTTCTAATTTTACTAAAAAATGGCGTATATTAAATTATACAATTTTACAGTTATTTCACTCAGAAAATGATATAGAATAAACGGCTAAGCTATGGAAAAAATGCAGTTAAAACTCAGGCATTGGATTCCATGAAAAATGCTTGCAGACGTCTATCTTGCAAATTTTTGCAGTAAATGGAAAATATACAGAGTGGCTCAACAGTAGATGTCGATACCAAGTTCCGTTTTTTAAATGGAACATCATTCTTTTCAATCCATTTTCGAATTCTCCCTGAAATTTCAAGTAAAATTTATGGAGCATACCCTATAAAAGTTTTTATTTTTATTGGATGTGGAGACAAAACGAGAACTCATGAATAAGTTTGTAGTTGGTCTAACACAAAATATCCGGATGGACCCATTACAACATTAGAATTTTATTAGTAGCTTCAAATAATGATGTTTGCAAACAAACAGCTTTGCGTGTATTAACAGAAGAAAAGTATCATCCCTACTAGATTGCGTTCCTACAGGAGCTGTACGGAAATAATCAAGACCGCAGACTACACTTTTGTTAAACTATGATGGAAATTAATTAAATTAATTTTTCATCACCACATCCTATTTGGTAATGAATCCACATTATATTTAAATGAGTAAATAAACAACATTATAGGTATTAAAGTATAAAAAATAGATGACAGCCGATGGATACGAGAAATACAACACAACATCCACAAAAAATAAATATTTGGGCGGCAGGGATTTTAAATAACATTATTGGACTGTATTTCTTCGATCGAAATCTTACTGGAGCCTGATATTTACAATTTCTTGAAAATGACTTAATTTTTATCTCACAGTTTCTCTTCAAAATCCAAATCAGCCAGATGTTACTCAACTGGTTTTTTCCGCTGTAGATATTTAAAATTAAAAACATATAAGGAAAAACCACAAAATTAGATGATTTAGAATTATATACGAAATAAGGCATAATGAAAACATCCTGAGTAATGTTTTGATTGTTTGGTTGTTTTTTTTTTAATCGATTAGCATATTATCAAGAAGTCAATGTCGGGCATTTCTAACACCTAATATAATATTGATTTGACTGTTAAATGAAATTGTATATGTATGTATATAGGTCAGTACCTGAAAATATGCAATATTTTTACATTGTATTTTAATCAGCCGTTTTGCAACTATTTAGCATTTGTATTGAATGAATCTTACATAAAAAAAAATCACAAAATTTTTTGTATATATCAAAATCATTTTGCAGAAATAAAATAAAAATAACATTGGTGTAACTTCTTCGCACGAAATGCAATATCCTCATTAAGAACCCAAAAAGGAAATAATTGTACTTTCTGAAACCCTTAATATTTGTTTCATGCAGTGATCAGAGTAAAGTCCATTATTTTTTGATTTGATGATTTGATGAAAAACTAATTTAAATTATTTTCGTATATTTTGAGTTGTTTTTTTAGTAATTCAATTATGACTAATTTGTTCATATTTTATATAGCATTAGAAGTATGCTTTAGACAACTTGTCTAAAATATGTTTTTAAATTTATAAATAAATTAATCTAAATAATAACTTTTTGATTGAACCTGTTACAGAAGAAATTTATCATATAATAACTCGTAATTGCTTTACTCATACGACTGCTAATAACATTAGGTTTTTTCTTAAGAATGAACCAAGTTTTCGCGTCTATAAACAAAATAACAACTGCGTGCAAGTTCAATTTCAATTACAAACCGAATTTCAAGTGCAAAGTGCTTTCATAGTTTTCTGGTACAGCAATTTTTAATAAAGAAATAAAGATGGTTTTGTAATTTAGGTACCCCATAAACAGTGATTTAATAGATTACCTCGCTGTTTCTATCGTTCGATAAAAAATGCTGAGCCACGTGATCAGGTAGGATATTTTTCAAGAGCTGCTTATTATTCTGCCTGGTTTCTTCCATGTCGGCCAGTTCCCTCTCAGCCTGCTGCTTCCACAAAAAATCCAGCCTCGACGTCACCTCCACCAGTCTCGCGTGGTAAGCTACCACCAAGAAAAACACCACCAGAAGGATCAACATTTGCACAGACAAGGGAATAGAAATTGTGCCCCTAAAAAACACGTACTTGAGTTAGATACCCTTCAAAAAATTTTTAATTGATCTTACAACATTGTGAGATCAAAATACTTACTCGGTCACTTCAGTAATGTAATCGAATAGCGGCTTGTAGGGTATCAGCATCAATATATTGTAAGTGGCCACCATAATGATCGCCAAGCACAATTTGATCAGATAGTAGAGCTTCAACGCTGTCGCAAGGGCTATCAAACATAGTACCCAACTGAACACTATGTATTCGGGATGCTGGCAGATACACTCTACGCTGTTATTGGTGATATTGACGTCATCATCGCCGGATAAAAATGACAACACCTCTCTCTTGACTCTAATATAGTTTATACCCCTCTTCACTTTCATCGATGTGTCGTTCTCTTTTGCATTTAGCTGTAAGATGGCTGACGCGTTATCCCCGTCCCTAAAAATGTCTTCGATGCTACCCAAAAGTCCCCTTAAACAGTGTTCCGAACAGTTGACGTTATTCAAAGTAACACTAGTGTTCACTTTCGCAGACAATGTGAGGTTCAATGTCACTTGGTGTTCGGGATTTTTCGAGAGACGCAGCTCTGATATGTAGAAAGGGCTGTTTTTCATTAGCGTCGAATAAGCTTGGATGTCGCTTTCGTTTGAAGCTTGAATCACGCCGGCCATAGTGGACGAGTTTCTGGAATCTGGGCGGGAATAGATCAAACGAATCGAGCTAGTCAACGACATGACGACGATCACCATGCAAATGAACACTGTTCTCGTGGTCCTGTTGTGGACCAGAATCGACGATATCCTTTGGAGCGACTGGGGCAGCTGCTGAAACTCCTCCGCCATCACCAAAACTGTGGTGCATGTCAGTACTATGGTGACGATTATCAGTAGCCAAGTGATTACCGCGCTCCTGCAATGTGTAAGAGAATCAGATTCATGCACGAAATGACCTACTTTTGGATGGCAGTCTAAATTATTACCGGAGAAACAAGGTATTACTATAACGAAATGTTTAAAACGATGTTAAAACAAAAAAAATAGATGTTAGTGTGATAAGTTCGTACAGGTATTCAAGACTATGGAAAAAGTGTGGATTAAAACTAGTATTGGTAGTGCTGGAGTGCCGATAGCAGCCGAAGGGTATAATACGAGTACCAACTGGTTTTATGACCTTTTGGGAGAAATCTAACACTATCCAGATCACTCCACGCCCGATTTGAAGGTATGGAAAGCGAGAGAAGAGGAATAGAAAAATTGCTTTAGTGGTTGCCATTGATATCCTGTGTTTGCTTGGGAATTGTAGTTGTAAGAATGATCCTGTGCGCCATGTGGAGGATTTGCCATTTTGAATTGTCAAAAATCCAATTAGTGCAAGATACTTACGTAACGGTGATGACAAACTGCGAGACCACTATGAACAGCCATATGACGAAGCAGCAAATCATATTCGATTTGAACATGTCCTCCCTTAATTGACTAAACTGAAAACGGAGACGACTTGAACGTTCACATTTGATTCCCTCGCAGTCTTCTCACCTGGGTCTCCATTTTCTTATCTATAAACCTCAGCGTCCACGTGTTCACATTGGCGTTCCTTATTCTTTTATTGCTCTCGACTTCGATACTGTGATCGATGATGTCGTCCACTTGTTCCGCTACAAATTGCTTCGGATCGTTCAGCTCATATTTTTGTTTTCCTTTCGGTTCCAAAGTTTCGTTTATATCGGCGGACAGGGACCTGTGCAACTGAAAACAAACCTAATTCATGTCAGCTGAAATGTCTCTCGAAGAGGAAGACTACGTTTTCGAAGGGTATTTCCGGTGTCCAATCGGTGGTGTTCTCTTCGTCGATCGCACTGTGTTGGATACCGCTGTCGCTACGTTCCCTCGATGGTGGTTGGGACGATATGCTGGGCGCTTTAGGACTCTTGGGTGTGCTGACGTTGCTGTTGATGTCGTCTTCCGGCCACAGCTTGTTCGATAAAATGCTATGAGAACAGATGTGAGAAGGTGATATTAGCTAAGCCAATCACTTTAAGTGCTTTTCAAATTAATTTTCCAAAGAAACTGCCACAGGCTAATGCAATACTACAAATCTTCTGGATTCCTGCTTGCTGACGTTTCGTCAATCATCCTTTTCGCTTCTTCAGAGCTTAACTAAAACTACCTCGCATTGTACTCTATACCCGCTTCTATATCGTTTGAGGGGGCGGTTCATTGTCATGAACATGAATATTGTCTCGGATGACTGATTCTCATATTGGTGAAAGGTAAAGACCTGAGCCGCGGTTACGATTGTTTGGTTGGTTAGGTTTTTGAAAAGTTTTTAGGAAATATGTATAAAGTTAAAACTAGATTTACCACTTCTCCAAAAATCTGTCAACATTTTTAATCCGCCAAAGAGCAAATTTCGTTTAAGATACCAGGAGTTTGTAACACTCCATGTATATGCGGCAAGGAATATATTGGAGAGACAGGACGAAAAATATCAACTAGACTCAAAGAAGATGAAGGAGCCTGAAAACCACTATAAATAAACACAGTCATGAAACCGGACATCAAATCTAATTCTATAAAAATAAAATTCTTTCAATTCCTCTATCAGAGAAAATTCCGAAAATCTATTGAAATCTATAAGCAACCAATCGGAACTGTGACTCAGGTCTTAGCTTTCACCAATATGGGAATCACAAATCACTCTATATATCAGAAACCAATCTCCGAAACTTACCATTTTGGAGATAGCGATAGTGAGACACACTATTTAAGACAAACTGTATATGATTCTGAAAGTTTTACAATAACAAAGCAGTAAAATTAGCCAGTTAATGTGGTAATCAAGCATTTTTCTTAATATGTATCTTATTGGATCACTGATTCCCATATTCGAGACAATGTTCATGCCCCTCTTTTAGCTACGCTCCTCTCACCGGATACATAAGCAGGTATAAAGTACAACGCGGGCCAGTTTGAGTTAAGCTCGTCAGAATCTAAGAGATTTGTAAATTGTCTTTAGAGAGAATTACCTTGCATTTGTTTTTTATTTCAGACCTATGGTACTTAGGAGGAAATATGGGAAAATTTGGGAATATGTGTGGATGCTTCTAAAAATGCATGGGATACTTTTCGTTGCTTCGAATTCAATAAACAAGTTAATTAAAATGTTGATGTTATTTCTAACAGCAGAAGTGGGATAGTACCACCGCGGTATCTTTGTGTGTCTCCTGGTTCAGTTATGAGTTGCTGTTGAAGCGTTACTGCAAAGCATGGGAGGAATTTAGAGCAGCACGTACTCTGCATACTCTATCAAGGACATTCTGTGAGTATTCGCTTTTAATTTGACTACGGGTCAAATTCTAGAAATAATCGCAGATATAAATTACAAAACAGCGGCATTTAATAGCATCATAGATCCGATTAGTAATTTACAAACTTCATTGAGTTATTATAAAAAGTGATAAATTTAGTGTTCTTTGTTCCCACTGTAAAAAACATGACCATTAAGCAATTGACTACTTTCAAAACCAGTGTGAGCAAGCTTTAACTTAACGTATAAAACTGTAATGAATGAGGTGGATAGAGCGTTATAAAGTGAAGGAAACATGATTCTCAAAACATATCAATTGGCCTTGTCAATACATTTATCGATTGCTGAGAGAACTCAGCTAAAAAGCTTGCATCTTTTAGGTAAATAGTACTAATACAAGGAGAAAAGAGGTCCAACTTTTACCTCAGAAAACATCCTTCTGATGTTAAGCTCCTAAATTAATAAACCACAATCTTTACCGCGTGTGAAGTATCAAGGTGTATTACTATTTTGTTTAAAAATTGATGAGTCTAGAAGCGCGCTTTGGGTGGTATTACGCCCATTGTGCCGTTTTTCCAACTTATAGAATATTAAAAATATCTTCGATCCAATTAGTATCAAATTCCGAAGTTCAAACAAGGCAATTCAGTCAATCAAGTCGTTAAAATTGATTATCAAAGGCAATATGCAAGGCAAGGCTCCAAAATTCATGTCCTAAAGACTGATGCAGATGGTTTGGTTGCATATCTGCTGACATTGTCAGAACTGCAGCATTCAAGATTACATTATTCATTTGGATCGTCAACCTCCAATATCCAAAGAAGTATTGTGACACGATCATAGAGGTTCAAATTTCATTTTTGTTTGTTTGTTTGTTTGTTGATATATTTATATTTCCCTTACAGCAGATATTTTGGTAGTTTTTTCCTAGAAACATTTGGTACGTTATGTATATACAATATCCATTTATCCTGATGTGTGTGCTTGATGGCACCGAGAATACCCAGAAAAAGGCATCACCTACCTAGGCCTCGAAGCATATTTCCTTCTCGACCTCATAGGTTCAATTTGCTTAATCAAGTAGGTGATGACATTGTGTTCTCTCAAGTATCCATCCCTTTCTTGACCGTTACCGGGTTCGACTTCGTAGGCTCCGTTGAGACACTGAAAAGTCGCTTCGGAAATGTGGACTTGCCTAAAAGCGTGGTAAATTTTAAAGGTTATTTAAAAGGTAATTGGAGATACGCACCCCGGTTTTCCCCCCGATTCCATATGGTTAGCTAAGCGGACGTCGTGGGACCAAATGTCGAACTGCCATTTCCTTAACCCCAACACTCCACACAACACCGAACCAGAGTGGATCCCGATTCTCATGTCCAAGTCGTCTACCTAAAGAGTTTAAAAATCTATCGATTACAAAAATCGATAATTTTCATACAACCAGTTGGACAGTTACCTTATATGCATTTAGATATTTCATTTGTTTTGATTGCCTAAATTAATATTGCTTGGTATTGTTTTCTTTTAGCATAACTCAGCAAACAAATATTATGACTGATGACAGTGTGTCCTATTTTTGATGATTTTTTAGAGTATCTCACTTATGAATGAAGTGGAACAATTTGACTATTTAATAACAAAGAAACCATATCGTTCCACTTAGTCTTTTTTTTTGGGATTATGTCCATTCACAATCGCGTCACTCATAGCACTGTTGATAGCCTAGCAAAAACACTTATTAGCGATTCCAAGTTTATTCAAATGGACATGGACATCTATTTACGAAAATATTAGAACACCAGCCCCCCACCCACTGCTTTCCTTGCAGGGATAGAACAAAGAACGTTAAACAAAAAGATTTTAATCGATTATTTCACAGGGAATGGGCTTCGAAAACTCCAAAATTCATGTTGTAGATTTTTTTACAGGCTCCATAAATATGAGAGAGTATCAGCGAAAATTAGTGAATTAGTCTGGTTGCTATTTCTTGCCTACCAATCTACCAGTATACCTAGGTATTTACGCGAAAAAGTTCCCGGTACAGGCAACATATTTTAAATATAAGATTTGCAAATAAATTACCTCTTCGTTGTTTTCGTTCGACAGTGTTTAGAATCTCTGTCAGTTATGATACTCAGTTAGTTTAACTATAAGATTTGCAAATAAATTACCTCTTCGTCGTTTTCGTTCGAGAATGTTTAGAATCTCTGTCAGTTATGATATTCAGTTACAGTTTGTTGGATAAAACAAAAGCCGTTCTACTCCTCACTCAAACTAAAGACATACTTTGGAATTTGCTTTTTGTTTTGTTGTTGTACAAACTTATTGTTTATAAGAAAGACTTTGCCTTTGGTTAATAAAGTCCTGTTACTATTATTATTATTATTACTTTTTGTTTTTCATGTCGGCTACGTAACTAGCAAGAACACGAGAAAGAATTGCCGTTGAGTTTGGTTAAGGATCCTTCTGATTCTGTTACAAGTTACAAACACCGCAGATTTTTGCATCTCCAAGTGGAATTTACCTGCCATATTTACTTATCGTCTGCCAAAGTTAAGTATTTATTCCTTTTCTCGCGGTCTTTTTTTTGTAGGACTCCGAACCCATAGTGGGCCATACGGAAGGCTTATTTGGCTCAACAGACCAAAGGACAACAACCTTTTGCATATTCATCACAAGGTGATTTTTTACATACCAGGATCTTCCTTATTTTGCCAAGCACTTCATCGACTCTAGACAATAGGTAAAACTAATCAACTGCACAGTATATTTTGGATAAAGCCTACGAAGTACACCAATTCATTTTAAATATTTCCTTCGCTTCCCTCTCTCTTTAATTTTGATGTTACACTCCGCCGAAGAGGAAAACTCAATGTCATTCCATGGTCAAGAAGAATGATATCAGGTTATTATTATTATTATTATTATAAAAAGAAAATCGATACAGTGTTTGCCATGACTTCGACGACACTGAGCGAAAAGCCAATCGTAATCACGACCTCAACAGATGTAAGAAGCTTCGTCAGTTGGTCAGATAAATTTCTACTTGCTGAGATCCTATTTATTTTATATAGCATTTCATCCTTCGGTCTTCTAACACTCCTACAATAAGGACAAACATCTGGATAAAGTCTACGAAGTTCACCAATAGTAACTATTTCGTTCGCTTCTCTCTCTCCACTTAATTTCCATACGACATAATAAGAATTTATTAAGTATTTATGACTCCGTCTTGGCAGGCAATCAGAAAACCCTTGATCACCGACTTCAGATTAGCAGGCCTCAGAAAACCGACATTGAATGCTGCATTGAAAGTGCATCATTTTGGTTGTATTTGTTTCCAATTTATGCAAATCTGCTCTGGAACTCCAAAGGAATAAAGTAGCACAGGAACAGCAAGCACATTTGTCACAGAACTCGAGGTGGTAGGTACGTAAAAAATGGGACTGCATGCACAGTTCCATTTTTCCAAGCTTGGCTTTCATTACTTCATCGAGTTTGTTGGACACTAAGGTATCTAGGTTACTTTGACTTCCAAATTTTTAAATATAGTACCATCGGGCATATATATATATATATATATATATATATATATATATATATATATATATGTATATGATGACACTATATTCCGGGATATCATCCGTTCGCTCGTTGAACTCCGACTGGAATCCTGCATCCGACTGGAATCCTGCAAATCTTGCATCCGACTGGAATCCTGCAGACGTTTCGCCAAAATCTCACTTGGCATCTTCAATGCTCGCGCTCCGAAAACAGTGTTCGAAGTGTTTTCGGAGCGCGAGCATTGAAGATGCCAAGTGAGATTTTGGCGAAACGTCTGCAGGATTCCAGTCGGATGCAAGATTTGCAGGATTCCAGTCGGATGCAGGATTCCAGTCGGAGTTCAACGAGCGAACGGATGATATCCCGGAATATAGTGTCATCACATTTTTCCATCCGTGAATCAATACGTGAGAATATATATATATATATATATATATATATATATATATATATATATATATATATATATATATATATATATATATATAATCTAGTCCCTTTCTACCCGTAGGGTGTAAGGGGGTAGGAAGCGATATTGGTGCTTAATTGGTTTTCAGGTTTCTGATAAAGCTCTCAGAGAGGTGGCTATTTGTAATAAGCGCGGAATTTCCCCAGCAGTCCATTTTTAAGAGCCAGTTGGCCAGTTGTTCATATGTTAGAGGGACTCTCCAGGCGCACCACATTTTCTATATTTGTCCTCGACATTGAGCCCTAGGCAATATTTGTTCTGATGACTCGATCTTGAATATCAACAAGAAATCCAATTTTTCAGGATAGAGTTGACCAGATGTAAGCCAGTCCTCCTCCATTCCATAGTGCTTGTTGTAAACGATATCTTAAGAACATTAAACGTGAGAATAACGTGCCAGTTTGTAATGTGATAAATTCTTGATTTAGAGAATCTCGATAAGCCAAGAGTGTGGAATAGAATCGAATGCATTTCGGTAGTCTATCCTGGCAATCGAGAGGTTTCTTCTTTTCGCCATGGCATGATTTGTAACCATCGAGTCCATGATTAGAGTCACTCCTTGCTTTCTCTGTCTATGGCTCTACAGATATTTTGTTCTATATAGAGAATATTGTTATTATCCACATGGCTTCTAATCTGGTGTTCCATGACTGCTTTACACCCTTGGCGAAAAAGTGAAATAGCGAAACACTTTTTCATTGTTTCTTTATAAGAAGTACTACTTTCAAAATATATGTCACATAAGTTTTATTCAATTACTTAATGACTAATTTACAGTTATATTGCAGTAAATATAAAAAATGAGTATATTGAAATTTGACAGTTTTGTGAACTGCAATGAGCCCGCAACTTATCACCAACTATATACAGTTAATAACAATATATTTTAATGGTGTCATGGTTGACAACAACGATAGCTGACATAAAAGCGCAATAAAGAGGTCGAAAGAAAATAAGTTGCTTAGTGAAAGAAATTCTACAACTACACCGTGAATAATCAATATCTGAGTACTTTTAAGAATAAAACAAAAAAAGATATAGGGTGGTGCAACTCACCCGCCTGTTAGGTGGTTTATGAATTTTCGTTGTCCATGCATGTAATGGGTCTATGCTAGTGCGGTAATGTGGGGAAGGACAGGAGATATAAGTTAAACTTAACCTAACTGCTTGTTTGCATAGCGTTTGAGTCTGTTTTTAATACGTTTATGGTAAGGCAATGAAAATCCCACTGGTTTGAATTCTAGTTGTTTAATGTTGCCTGAGAGAGAGGTGACAGTGGTCCACCACATTCGCCTCGGGTTATGTACGAAAAATTAAATGAGTTAGCGAAAAACTTTTAAAACAGTATTCTGTGGGCCCATGGAAGACATATTTTAATATTATTTTCAAATACACAGGATAACCCAGAAAGGACAATTTCAAAATTACATGTTTTCCTATGGATCAACTTATATTTTTAGATCTTTAGCTACTATGGACCAAATAAAGTTTCATAATGTAACTGTTACATTTTCTGCATACAATTTTGACCATTTCTGAGAAATTTTGAGAAATTAAAGAATACAGGCAGTAATTCAAAAATTATTTTCATCCTATAACATGTAACGAGGTGCTCATAATTTGATTTACTGCTTAGCTTGCCCTAAAGTTTGGACTCGCATTTTATTATTAGTATTTAATGACCTGCTTTAATGCAAAATTAGATCTTTTTTAAAACCATCTTAGGGTTCCCCATGTACTCCATTTATGGCTAATTTATTTACCTTAAAAATGGAACACGTAAAAATGTATTGTATTAAAAGCCTAAAAAGTATTTTTGGACCCATTTTATACAAGAAGAAAGAAAACCAATACTTTATAAAATCACTTAATTAATAGTATATTATGCAACAAGTGCGGTAAACGGCATTTGAGTCGCGAGTTCATTTGGTGCAAAACCACACGAATGCATTCACGTTACTGTCAAAATTGACAAACGTCAATAATCAAGCCATTCGGTAAAATCTCCGAAAACATCCGATTGCTCTGAAAAGAAGCTCCGATCCGTGAGACAAGACACTCACATGGTAAAGTGACGCTTCCCGTAAGCTAACTCGCTGTGTAATTAGGTATTTTACAGAAGGGAGTAGAAAAAAACTTATTATAATCAGAACCTATAATTATCTAACCTGCTGCCGATACCAGTACTAAAAGTATTGTTTAGTTAATAACCAAAACCAAAAAGAATCTTTCTTGAAATGAGTGTTGAACTTAGGATAACACATTTTGCAATTTGGAAACCCTCTTCTTGGTCGTAGTATAATACCATGAGGTGTCGTATTTTAAGCACTATTCGTTATATATCCCCAAAAAAAATAGTCGCCACTTGCTAGGTACGGAGAACTGTCTGGCCACTTCTGTGGATCTCCTTGTCATATTCATTTGGAGATGGATGGATATGACTCGGTTTTATCAAAGTATGCAGGATATCAAAAAATTATAGGCGTACCATTCGGGATCCAATTATTTCACCTCACAGATCATCGGTGCTGGTAATCAGAGGTTAAAAACATATTGTTGACGTCTCGCCAATTATCCTGTTGACTTTTTCAAAGCTTAACTGAAACTGGATCGCATTCTACTCTGTACCTGCTTAATACTGTTTGAGAGAGGCGAAATTAAAGGAGGAGGATTCCCATATTGGTGAAGGGTGAAATGACCTAAGTCGAGGTTAAGATTATTTGGATGCTTATAGATTTCTATGGATTCACGGGTTTTTCTATGATAGAGGAATTGGTTACATGCAAGAATTTTTCATCGAATAAGATTTGATGTCTATCCAGCATGTTCTTTTAGCATTCTTAATATTTGTCATGCTGTCTCTCCAATGAATTCTTTGCTGCATATGCATGGAATGCTGTAAACTCTTGCTATCTCAAATTTTTTTCTTTAACGGATCGATGATGTTGGGAGATTTTTGGAAAAGTAGTAAATTTAGTTTCAACGTTATAGTTCTTAAGAAATTTGGATACATGGTCAGTGATTTAAATGTAAGGCAGGACCACAGTGGCAAGTGATTGCATTTTCTTGGAAAGGTTGTTGTGAAGTGCATTCTGCAATGGAAAGTTTAATATGTCAAATGTGTAAATTATCAATGAGAAGAATAGATGTAAGGTGTTTTAATTCTGGGTTCAGTGACTCGGGCTAAGATGGGACCAAATAATAAAAGTATAGTCAACGTAGTGTTTATGTGTGTGTGGAGTGTTAGTTTAGTGTTTCAATAATTTTGATTTTAGATGGAAATACGTACATAAATGTATTCGCGATGACTGGTGATAATGGAGAATCCATAGCTGTTCTTGAGATTTCTTTAAAAATAGAGTTGAGTGTTATAGGAGTAAAATTTATATATTTTCAATTATTGTTTGGATGTTCTGTATGCTTATGCTTATGCTTCGTAGCCTAATGGAATATCTTTCGGAATATACCCTTGACGCTAATAAATAGGTTCCTTGATACTCACCGATTACCAAGACCATATCAATTTGTTCTTTCTGAGGGTAAATTTTCATTTTTACTAATTAAACTGTAATAATATTTCAAGTTAGTAATAATTAAAGTCATCTAGCTCAAAGCTTACTATTATTGAAAATAAATTAGAGTACAGCGTGTTCCATTTTTAAGATAAAGAAATTAACCATACATTAAATATAAAAACCCTAATATTGCTCCGTGAAAACTGGGCGCTAAATGCGTGTCCACACTACGGGGCAATTTTTTCAGCACCGTGTGTAATATTGAAGTTAAACTTTTAAGTGGTAGTCAAGTTTCAAGTAAGCTGTAAATTCAGTTACATGTTACAGAATTTAAACAATTTTTACGCTGTTATTTTTTGATTTCTCAAAGCTTCTCAGAAACTGTCAGGGTAAAGGAAAGTAACAGTAACTTACCTTCTGAACTATAGTAACTATATTAACTATGGTAAAAAGACTTATTAGGTGTTTAACTTTTTGCCGATATTTCAAAATTGAAATGTGCCCATTATGGGCTTACTTACTATTTGCTAAAAGCTTTTCACCAGCTTCTTTCATTTCTCCCCTCATTCGACACCACAGGTTTGTGTGGGCTTTTTGAACTTAATCAAGACTAATTGCAAAATATAACTCAAATATTAAAATCGCTGGCGCGATTGATAAAACCCATGTGTAACTTCGGCTTTACATGAGCTCCGGATATCGAACACACAGCCCAAAAGATTTTCCGTTAAGAGCGGTAAACAAATCGTAAAGCAGGCGTGCATAATAATTACGAAAAATAAATATTGACTCTGCTGATAACCTTTCGCGATAAAATTACTCGATTGAGATTTTCCGCAGCGTTCGGTTAGAAATTATAATAATGCTTACAAACTTAGTGATTTGTTAGTTTTGGTTAGTTTTGGTTAGTCGTTTAATATGTGACATCAGCTTCGCGGGGAAGAACGCCAACTCTACTAAGGTATTTTCTGCCTAATTTATAAAATTCGATAAAAGAGTGAGTTCCATCCAAAGATACAAAACTATACCATATACACTATTCCAAAGTACATATAAATACACAAGGAAAATAAATATAAATAAATAATGTAAAACGCCCTTGAAACAAATATAAACATAAACCTAACCTAAATTTATATATGTTACGCTCAATGGTTGAATGTGCACAATGTCCGAAAAAAATACGCAAAGCTAGTTTTGTAAAATTTTTCTTCGATAAATATAGAGGTAATTTAAAACAATATTTATTTCAACAAGAGCTATTTTTTTCTTTCTACAAGATATCTGTTAATACATTTTTTATTGTATTGGATCCGGATATATTGGAAGAAACCGTTGTAAGTGATATTTCTTTGTCCTTCTTGTTACCAACATCGCTGTTGTCTATGAAAATATTATTATCACTGAAACTCCTTTCTACAAAAACGTTTTTGCAACATTCCAGAATTTGTTACTAGTTTGTCATCATCATCATCAATTGATTGAATAACTCCAATCCAGACCTGGTACTCGTGCAAGGACATTATCGCCAACTGAAGCTGTTTAAAATTTTTATTTCATTGTGCGAGTATCAAATTGGCTTGTAATTCCAAACCTTTTTTAGCGTTTTCACGATTGGGAATTATATAGCTGAATTTTAAAATACCACAGGAACCATAAATTCTCTCTTTGCACTTTGAGCAGTTTTCCAAGGTGGTGATAGGTTTTTCACACACAGTGCATAACAAACGTTGACTTTAATTTCTCGTACTTTCAATGGGAAGTTTGCTCTTCTTGTTTTTCTCTGTCTTGAATAAAGCCTTACACTTCACTATTGTATTTTTCTCATCGATCATAGAAAGTTCCACTTCGGTATCCGCCATATTGTCCTCATTGACCAGAAGAACTTCACTCTACGACATATTGTCATAGAAAGTTGCACGTCATCTTCAACAGTTTCAGTTTCATCTATAGATGCTAGAGTATTGTGAAGTTCAATGGTTTCATTCATTCAGTTTTTCAAGATAATATGTTTGGTCATATAGATAAGAGCATCTCGCACATCTCTGTTACACCGTTCCACGGAACCTTGACTCTGCGAGTGACGAGGTTTTCCATGAACGATCTTCAAATGAGACCACTGACATTTTATATTATTTATGTTTTGGTGGGAAAATTCACGGCCATTATCAGAATAAAGAATTTATGGAGCTCCAAATAAACAAAAAATTTCTATTAGGTGTCTGGCAGTTTCATCAGCAGTCTTATTTATCATTGGGCTTAGTTAATAGATAGTTCAATATGAATTTATTTGTTAATAGTTTGCATATTCCTGGTTCAACTCTTCTTCCAATGCTAATACAAAATGCACGCGTTACAAAAAAATCCAGCTTCCAGATCTAGTCTCCCTGTACCGGTATCCGAATAAATTCCGGTGAAAAGAGATACATAGACAACCAATAGCATAACCTAACCAGAAGCGAACATTTACTAGCCTTTGAACTTATTAATTTTTTTCGTATTCACACCACTTACTGGCATTTATTTGGATACCGATTCCGGGAGACTACAGTATTGTTCAATTACAATTGTAAAATAAATAGTGCAGAGACATACCTTTATGTCGTTTATGACCGGTAGAAACGTGCCTGCTGAACTACACTAAACACTTCATCCGGAGAAACAAAATATAGTATGGCATCAGAATCTAGCAGATAGGGGTTTTGCTCAAATATGCCTCCTTAACTTCATTAAATATAGTGGGGTAACGATCTTTAGTCATAAGATTATGTTTTTGATTACCTGAAGCTTCCAATAACCGAACTAATGGAGAATCGAAATCAGCTTGCAATTTTATAGTTTTATTTTTGGTTTGGGAGGCTCTAAAATAAGCACAATTAGTGCTAGTCATTCAGAAAATGTACATAACTAGTTCTCTGCATTTCAAATTGCGCAAAACTAGTTTGGCTTACTGTCTAACACTCAATACCCGTATAAAATTAATTTTTCGTGTTAGTGAAATATTTCTTGCTCAAAACTAGATTTGGGTACTTTTTTTGGGGATTGTCCGAATTCGACTTTTAAGCGTAACATATACCTTTCAATCGTTAGGCGTTAAATGTTTGACTAGAGTTGATAGAATCATAGAAAACAGCTAGAACTTTGCAAAAATTGTAATCAAACATTAATGTCTTCTATAGTCCAAGTCACAATGAGATTATGTTTGTAGCTTGGTCAATTGTCCAGCTGTACCAGAGTCGGTTCTGGTCAAAAGATATCCATGTGTATGTTTGTCAAATAGGTAATAAAAGCTGAATAGTATTATTGTTGATGAAGTATTAATGACTGAAAAGGGCAAGTCTATCCAAATAATGACATGAGATTTTTCTTTGATTTTATGTTCCAATTCTTATCATTAACATGGAATTCAAGAAATTCAAACAAGGCAAGTGTTCCATGCTATTGCGAAAATTGTGATTTTTAATATCATTTGCTGTGAGTGGAGGTTCAAAGCTGAGTGATGTTAAAAAAAAACAAGAAAATGGCGAATCTAAAAATCCTACTCTGAGAGAAAATCGGGAGAGTTTCGCGATTATACACCTATGACAAAGGTTTGAAGAATTTACTCAGACAAATTATTCACAACGATATTTTTTTTAAACATTCGGCCAGCTTTAATTGCATTTGAATGATTTCTTTAAGTACCTTAGGTAGATTAATGAAAGATATAGGTTTGCTCTAAAAAATATTTTCTTTGACCACTTCTACTTGAAATCAAAGCTGCTGGAAGTTGCCTGCGCATACAAAAATGAGTATGATAATTATGAAGTTTAAAAAATAGCTGCTCCCTAAGAATAGAATAGATGAAACATTTTAACATGTTACTGAACTAATGTCAAGACAACGTGGATGAACTTTGGTGTCAGTTCTGAGCGCGACATTGACATTTCCAAAAATATGTTTGAAACCGGACCTGATTGCAATACCAGGCTAGTAACGGTGCCCTCCATATTCGGATTATTTCATCAAATGATGGAAACACCGTGACGTAGTTCCTAGTATTGAATGATTTATTTAACTTGTTCGAAAATATTTCATTCTTTCCGCTTGCCATAATAATTCATAAGCTGTCCGATAATCTTCGACAGAATTAGACCCTGAGCATACTATTTAGCTAAAGTCCAGAGTTAGTTTGCAGATTACCCAAAGTAGTAGTGACTTGGACCTGGACATTTCGAATATTGAATTCGAATATTGTATAGGGTGGGACACTACCTTATCTCAGAAACCATAATGGAGGGACCGAAAAGTTAAATACAAAGGTTAATTGAGGTATTAGAAACCTTCAATTTATTTTAATTTGGTATATACAGAGAGTTTCATTTTTCGTGGGAGAATATCAACTTTCTTATTGTAAATGGAACACCTGTTGCCATACAAGTTCAGTTAGTATAAGGTTGCTATGGCGACGTTTGAACAAAACAAGTGCTGTCGCAATCTTGCCGATGCACGTATGAAGATTCAAACATTATTTAAATGTATGTATGCATTATTTATATAGAATAAGATCAAGGATACGTGATAACGTTCTTGAATATTTTATTAACGAATAAAAAATTAATGGCTTACAAAGGATAATAATTATTGTAACAGTTGTTCAACATGTCCTCCACTTTGAGCAATAAAGGGTTTCTAAATACGTAATGCCATTTGTAACAGATTCAGTCTCATTTAAATATCCGAAGTTTAAATTCCTCGCCAGTTGAAGGTTTGTGTTTGCAAACTAAATCTTTAAGTGTACCCCATAGAAAAATATCTAGGGTGTTAAGTCGGGGCTCCTTGGAGGCCAGGCGTAACTACCATCCATTCCAATCCATTCTCTATAGTGTGCATTTAAATAGGTGCTAATTTCTTGAGTTCTGTGATAAGGAGCGCCATCCTGCTGCCAAATTAAATTTCGGCATTCCCTCTCAGGCACTTCATCTTCAACGAAGGGATGAATAATATTTAAAAGCTCTAAGTAACGTTGGGAATTTAAATTCTAATAAAAAAATACTGCATCTATTATTCTGAAATTCCAAATCATACCCTATACTTTGAAGAAGTTCTAGCTGATCTAGTAACTTGCATATGTTTTTTTTATTATTGTTGCTTCAGTAATCGGTATAATTCCGATTAACATTTTTAGCTGAGGTTGTAAATATGGACTTATCTGTCCAAATAATATTAGCAAATATATTTTCTGAAAAGCGTCTCTCCATAAGATTGCTGCATTGTCCTTTTGACATTTAGATCTAAAGACGCATTTCGGGTTGAACCTTCAGGAGTTTCTGCAAAGTGCCAGTTCAGTTAGTTAGACAAATGTTTAAAAGGAAATATTTCAAAAACAAAAATATTAGGCGTATATAAAATTGCCTTAATTTTTAAAACTAAATATGAAAAAATAATTGATTGAATATTGAAAAAAAATTTTTTTGGAATTTTTTTTAATTTCATTTTTAATATTATTTTTCGCGCACCCTGCGTTAATATGTATCGAAATTTCTTATGAAATCCGTTATCCCAGTCCTTTATCAACAACAAAACTTACTCAACTGAAACAATAAACACTTCCGAATAAAGAAATATGTCTAGAATTTTGTATAGAATTAAAAAATGAAGTAATATACTAGGTGTTCCTTTTAAAATAAGAAAGTCGATATTCTCTCTCCCACGTAACAATTACAAAAACCGTCGCAATTCTTTGATTTAATCCTTCGGTAATAAAACTGCTAGTCTCTTACTTAATTCCACACACTGCATTGAACGATTAATAACCATTACATCAGATGTAAACGATATTCTGGTTAATTTCGATTTAGAATTAATCGACTTACTGAAGTTTCTATTCCTGAAACTCTTCAACATAATTAGAAATATATTAAAATCCGAGGATCTGGAATCCTAATTGTAACAGTCAAATTTATAAACAAATATCAGGAATAGCTAGGGGCTTTCCATTATCCCCAGTCGTTGAAAATATTTTTATGAAAGCTTTTGAGAAGAATGGCGACACCTTCCATCTAAAACCAAAACTATGAAAACGTTATGTTGATGACATTTATGTTATTCTTCCTCTTGATCAAGAATCTCCCCGATATTGTTTTCCATTCCATTCTATTTCAACTCTATACACCTTAACACACGCCTAATCAATGAATTATTTCCTGTTCTTAGATTATTAATAGAAAATTAGATCTAACATTGGGTAGTAGAGTTTACAGAAAACCTACGCACACATACCGATAGCTTAATTTATTATCACATCACCATCGGGTCCAAAAATAAGCGGTTGCCAACTCTTTTGTTTAGGGTGCCTTTAAACTATCTCAAAACGAATCACTGAACCCCTAACACATGATCTTCTCTCAGAAAATTTCCAGATTAGAGATAGTAAGCATTCACACTCGTCATAACCTCCCAAAAAAATGTGTTCGAAAGCAAGTTCGCACTTGTCACTTCATTACAATCAAAACATCATCGACAACATAAGAAAAGTTTTTTAGAAATATTATGTGAAAAGCCTTTCTACATCTTCAATAACCCGTTTGAATTTACAGCATTCCATGCAGCATTCCGCCTACCTAAAGAACGTAATTGAGAGACAGGCCCAAAAATATCAACCCGTCTAAAAGAATATGAAGGCGCCTTAAGGGTACGGTAAATAAACCCTTGGGTGTAAAATCCGAGATCAGTCACTCATCTGAGACAATGTTCATGTCCCTCTTTTAGTTTTTTTGAAATAATGAGTTCTTAAAATAATACAAATCTTCTTCTTCTGAAAAATTAGACAGTGGCATTTATAAAATTTATTGAGAAAAATGAACGCCACTGACCGTAATTTAACTCTATCCCTGACATAGAACGATTAAAAGTACTACTTTTTTATATCTTGGATTCTTCTCATATCTTGCTTCGTTAACAAGATTAAAAATAAAAACGTGCGTGTCTATTTATCATAAAAATATTTTCGAAGGTTCCAATAATGTTAGCGAACAATTCAACTGAAAATAATTTAATATTTATCATACAAAAAATTTACAAAAACTGAAAGTGACCACGACCAGCTAGGAATCCAACGTTCTTCTCAGCCACCCAACTGTAAGTCGATTTGTTAGGTGGTCTACATTTTCCACAGAAGTAAAATAAACCAAAAACTTTAAGTGGTTTCATAGGAAGAAATCTAGAGCAGTTCAGTCCGCGGATCGTGCAGGCGATAAGTTATATCCACCAATGCGACGATTTCCGTATCTTAGTGTTAAAAATTGTGCATCAATTAGAAATCCAGAAAGAGTCCAATTATTCAGTCATCCACAATTCCAATCCAATTCAACGAGAACTGATGTTGATCTTGTTGGTCTTCCAATATTGTGGATTTGTTATAGCACTTCTTGAACTTACTGCATTTCTTGGAAAACTCGCATCATCAATAAACAGAATCAGCATCAGTAGTTGGCGGATTTCAACCATTTTCCGCAAAAATCATTTTAAGACAGATTGAACGCGTTGGACATGGTATGGATGTAACGAATAATTCTTGAGAACTTGCCAATTTTTTGAGTATAAGTACCTGGATCTTCTTCAATCATCTTCTTTCAGTTCTACCGTTCTGGCTGTTTTTGACCTCCGTGTTCCTCCACTTTTATCACAATATTATCGAAAATTTTGCTCAGGGGCAATACGATTAGGAAATCTTTCAGTGTACCACGGGCTAGCTTTTAATGCATTGCCCTCAGCAAGTCCACGAATAAAGTGTATATCCGTCGTCTTAATTTTTGTTGCGCAACTTCAATATTACACAGATCGGTACAAAATGATTGAAACAATCGAATAACATCTGAAATATTTGTTGCTGATGGCCACTGCCAATAGATTTGTAAATTTTTTGTTCATTATCAGAATGCTGAAAAACAATTTTATGATAAATGGACATGGAATAAAATAGTGTTTATATTTTATCTCGTAAACGAAGCATATGAGAAAAGTTCAAGAGACGGAAAAATGGAATTTTTATTAGCTTTATTTCAGGGATTCATCGAAATTCAATTGAAGTCAGTGACTTACATTTTTGACAATACATTTCATAAAGTTGCCACCCCCTCCACACGCCTATCGACAAATCAGTCCCTTATTATTAGCAATAAGGCTGACAAGTTTCCAGCAAAGAAGATAAGAAGATAGGAATCCAGAAGATCTATAAAAATTACTCTAATTGAATTTCAAAAAATACGTATTATTTATTATTATTATTGCTATTATTATTATTATTATTATTTATTATTATTATTATTTATTATTATTATTATTATTATTATTAAACTTATTATTATTATTATTCTGTTCAGTGTCGGCCACCATGGACGACATAGATATACCGGACGAAGACATTTCGCTTGCAGTAGCGCAAAAACTCGGAATTCCCAACGCTGTAGACCTCATCGACTGCACTCTGATGCCGTTCACCGAGAAAATCGGATTATTGGGTGATCACGCTTTCCTGGAGGCGACGGTTCTCGACGAGTCCACCGGGTCGAAAACTACAGCCCGCTTCTTCGTAAAATACTTCCCCAAGACCGAAAACCAAGCCAGATTCGCAGAGCAAATTGGTGCTTTTAAAAAAGAGGAGTTCGCTTACGAGATCTTCTCGAAGTTCGCCGATCATGGCGTATCCGTCATCACCAAATGCACCCCGACCTGTCACTTGGCCAAATCCAACCGTTACCTCTTTCTCGACGACCTGGAGGAGCAAGGTTTCACCCCTGTCTCCAAACACCAGTATTTAGATTACGACAGTGTCCTAGTAATCCTCCATTCTTTATCCCAGCTGCACGCCAGCAGCATCATATTCGAGGAACGAAAATCACAACAATTACGTACCGAGTACCGGCTAAATCGAGAGTATCCGGACGGCTTCGACGAGAGTTTCTTCGACGACGTGGTGAACAAGAGAGGCGTCGACGCTTCCATAAAATGCGTCTTGAGGGAAATCGACATGTTCGAGTTCCCCGAGGAATTGTTTCCGGCGGGAAACTTTTCACGAGCTGCCGCGAAAGTTTTACAGAAAATTTTTGACCTGGTGAAGCCGTCTCCGCGGCACAGAAACGTACTCTGTCACGGAGATTTGTGGTCGAACAATTTCCTCGTGAAGTTCAACCACGACCGGCCGGAAAAGTGCAAGTTCGTCGACTTCCAAAGCGCGAGATACGTCCCGCCCGCTCACGACGTTTTGTCCGTCATTTATCTAACGACTTCGAGGCGATTTCGCGATGCCAACATGTACCAGATGATCGGTATGTACTACAGCTACCTCGAAAAGCACGTGAAGGCTGGGGGTTTCGATTTGGCAAGCGTCGTACCGTTCGTCGAGTTCATGGAAAGTTGCGAGGAGCAGAAGGTGTTCGCTATCCTTCAAGCCGCCATTTATTTTCCGCTCATTCTGATGAGGAACGACTGTTTGGAGAAGTATTTCGCCGATCCGGATTTATACGAAGAGGTGTTTTTCAACGATAGATCTCAGCTGGTTGTGGATTACGTGGATCAGGACGAGATGTACCGCGAGAGATTGAAAGAATCCATACAAGATCTAAAGGAGTGTTGTGAAACTGTCGCTCACATTAGATAGAGCTTCAGAAAACGGTTAGTTTAGAAAGTAGTGGCTGAATCAAAAGTTTCCATCTACGATTTGGTTGCTCTTGTCTATAACGGCGTTTTACTATTATTTGGGGTTATGTTATATTTTTGAAAGCATTTTATTAAGTTTTTTAATTGGCAATGGGTGATATGTGCCTGATTTATGATAAATTCTATTCTAGTCAGTCTAAGGTGGATTTAATGTTTGAATGCAAAAACTGTTTCCCGTTTCCAGTGTTTTTGTATTATTTCAATTGTCACTCTGATACAGGCTAATCAAATAGTGTGACATTTATTCATATGGAACCCTCTATATTTTAGCACATTTTCAACTACCCCTTTAAAAGACGGATCCAATGATATAAATATCTATTTATCGGCCTCTACGTTGTTACGTTGCATATTAACTTTTAAAACACTTCTCTGCGAAACATTTTAGAAAATAATATTTTTTCTGAGACAATATTCAAAATTGAAATGTTATATCAATTACGCGATGTTTCGCATAATGTTACTTCTCTCAATTTCTTAAAATCAAACACCCTGTATATTTATACATCATTCATGTATCTATAATCATTTATTTAAAATAAACACCTCTAAAAGTTGTAGATTGTTTTATTTTCAAAAAACATCTGACAAAAACAAAATTAATTATTTTATAATAAATTAAATAAAATATCCACCATTTTGAATAAGGCAGGTGGTATATATTACCTATACATATGACAAAATAAATAAGAACTGAAAGTTCAGATTTTCACGAAATTAGATATATTCACATGACAATTGTTTCGACAACACCGTGTCTTTATCAAATGTAATATTTGCAAACTACCTGCTACTATATATACCGAAAAATGACAATAAAACCTTAATTAATGTTGTTGTGAGAATATATATATATATATATATATATATATATATATATATATATATATATATATATATATATATATATATATATATATATATATATATATATATATATATATATGATGACACTATATTCCGGGATATCATCCGTTCGCTCGTTGAACTCCGACTGGAATCCTGCATCCGACTGGAATCCTGCAAATCTTGCATCCGACTGGAATCCTGCAGACGTTTCGCCAAAATCTCACTTGGCATCTTCAATGCTCGCGCTCCGAAAACACTTCGAACACTCACCTAATTATTGATGAAGAAATTAGTGCTTATATAGTATATTATGCAACAAGTGCGTTAATATCTCAAAAAACATCCGATTGCTCCCAAACCCGTGCGGTAAAATGCCGGAAATGTCCGAAAGGGCTCGGATCCGTGGGATAAGAAACTCACTCAAAAGAGTAGTGGAATAAATTAATTAAAAACCAGCGAGGATATCAAAATTAGGAATGTCAGCTACTGGGTAATTTAGTGCAAATCGAGGTGATTCTACATGAAAGATAAATCACAAAATTTTAATATCACTTGATATTCAAACAAATCAGATTGATATTTAGTTATTTCTGGGGAATTAGTTAATAGCCACCCCTACAGCGAATTTTTTGCCGAAAAACTATTTCTTAGTAATAAATTCTTTAATTCGTATTTTCTGTTAGGATAGGAATGTTGACCACTCAAAAGCATTTGACAACATTTTTGTCACTTTATCTGAAAAGGTGATGATCGGGAGCAGAGTATATTCCCCCTTTACCGGTAACGTCCGGTGCACGCCAAGGATCAATTTCGGGACCACCTGTTTTCATATTATATTCCGCAGATATGCTGAAGAGTTTGTAGTTATCAAGCTTAGGCTGAAGATACGCGGCTATGATTAAATTTTAATCCACAGGAATATCATGGGGCGGAATAAAGTATAAAAGAGGAATTGAGATATATAAAAGCCATATCAAAACAGCACAACTTGTTTTTTATAAACACTGGCAAGTTTGCAGTTATCTATTTTAGTCCTAAAGTTGAGACAATTGAGAAAGTTATGCAACTAAGAAGGATTGATGATATTAATTTGCTCGAAAAAGAATGTGTGAAATCATTATATTTTCCAGCACAGGTGACGTCAGAAGTAAAAATGGCGTATTAAAATTTAAAGATGCTATATGCAAATAAAGTTCGAAAGAAATACTAACGGAAACTTTGGTCTTGTCGCATTTTAACCATGCCGATATTGTTCATGCATTTTTAGTTTTTATTCATAAAATTATTAAATTAAAATTGCGGAGACACACACACAATACCGTAATACTCGATTCAAAAACTGTGTTCCCAAACATTTAACGACGCTTTTCGAAAAGTGTTTTTCATTCCAAGTCGGCAAACTTCAAAAGAATATTCCTAAGAACTTTAAACGTCTAACTTAAGCAATTTTGAGCTTAAATATAATCAGTAACAACATACAAACAAAGTAACATACACTATGAGATCTAGAATTTGTATTGTATTCTTTCTCTTCTTCAATCCGTCTTGTTGGCTTGGATTGCATAGACTAGTTATATGTTAATATATAATATATGTTAATTAGTATTAATGTGGTTCATGTTTTTAAGTTGAGTTTAAGAATATTCCTTTAACTAAATGAGAGAATCTATATGTACAAACATTTATGTTATGCATAGTCAATTAATTTATCTCAATAAAGTCACTGAGTCGTTGAACCCCGATTTTTCTATTTAGAGAGAGAGAAGATTTGAATATTTCTCAGCTTTAAGATAGTAACTATGGTTAACATTAGAAATTTTTGGAGTTTTAAAATGCAAATAATAATTACCCTCCTTGGTGGCCATTTTAGAAAATAATTTCCAGTATTTTCTCTTAGTCGAGTTACTTTTCCCTAATATCTTGCTCTTACTGAGACACCCTGTATATTTAATTAATTATTAAAATCGTTTCAAGCAATAAATAATTTGGATGTATGCTTTTTACACCATTTTTCCTTGCTAGTTTTGGTTAGTAGAAGCAATTTTTCGACTTTCCTTCGTAGTCAATATTTAGTGAATCAGTGATAATACGTACATGAGACAGCGGGATCTAAATGTATCGAAATCCACAAGCATCGGCAACGACTGAAAAGGGCGTTTATTTAAAAACAAACCTGAGTTTTATGACGCGTGTCCTTGATGGCTTTGATCATATGCAAACCCATTTCGACGCAGCAATGGGCGTGGTCAGGATTCGGCACCGGCAACCCGGACACACAATAGTAACAGTCGCCCAGTAGTTTTATCCGAAGGCAGTCGTTTTCCTGAAAATATTTGGCAGATAAGCTCAAGCGCATATGAATATTTTCACTCCGCCTGAGACTGCAAATAACAAATAAAATAAAATTGTATTGAGATCTAACAGTTGAACGGCACCGGATTTCACAATTTTAATCTAGTTGAAGCAAAATTTTCTATTTATAATGAAATATCGGACTTTCTTTTAACATATAAAAAAAGACAATTGTAGTTCTATTTTGCAATTAACTTTTTATCTTTTTTTTGGACAACACCGTGCATTAACAAAAGATTTTTCGAAGACGAAATCTGGATTTCGGGCATCTCATTGCACCGAATCTGCCTAACTCGTAGTAAGTAACGAATAATATTGTCACATCTTGTCATCCTATACGGTGCTTATACTGCTGGACCACTGATGCTACACTACTACAGCTACACTCATCATACCGATCTTCATTCGATTCATGAACTATGAAAATCCTGTGGTTTCAAATTAAACAATACCAAGGTATAATTTTTCGACCCATGTAGTCTATCGATCGACTCGGATCGTATCTAAAAAACTATACAGTGAACTATTAAAATATAATACAAATTCATTTAAAAATCAACTATTGGATTTCAGGAAAAATCCTCGCACTGTGTTCCTGTAATATTTCCAATATCCAGAAATACCCATTATAACATCCAGAATGAGTAAAATTGATGGAAAACTTAGAGAAGCAGGGCACGTCTAAAATCGTCTACGGCCAAGACGTTCAAAAACTACTGACAACATAAAATTAACCAATTTATTAGAAGTACCTTGAAATGACGAACAGCTGTATTAAAAGAAGAAAAGTATGATCCAAACAATATATCAGGAGCTGATCGGAGATGATCCCGACCGCAGTCTACAATTTTGTGATACTGTGATGGAAATGTGCAAATTAAATCAATTTTTTCAACGTTAGATACTAAAACATGGAAAAAAAAGGCGCGAGGCAAGCTTCCGTGGAAGGATCCCGCTGGAGTAAAAGCACCCTCGCGAAAAGGTAAAAAATTTATAATTACCCACGTTGGTAGCAAAAATGGAGTTGTCGGTGGTGAGATGCTAGCATTTCAATCAAAACGGACTGGATATTATCACGAAGACATGAATACTGATATTTTTCAAGACTACTTCAATCAAATGCTAGATCTTGTTCCTCCTGGGTCTGTTATATTCGTGGATAATGACACCAGCAATGACTCAAGAAATTCTAAAAAAGAACGCCCTTCTTGGAAAAAATATTTATTTCATTATTGCTTACTTTAAATAAAGAGTAATTTCAGAAAGATGTCCAGAGGAAGGGGCTACTGGAGATCGAAAATTGAAATAAACCCCTTGTACAAAAATACAGCATATCATAGTGAATTAAATCCCATGGAATTGGTATGGGCGTAGTCCAGAAATCTGTCAGCTGCCTACTACAATTCCAACTGCCATTCTGAGTTTAGCCTGAACCACTTTTGGTCGTCTTTAAACATTTTTCGCCAGGGAAGCAAAAATAATTCATCTTCTTCCTTTTTCTCTTTTGTACATTTAGAAGATCATTTACATTTAATTGTGTTGTTTTTGTTAGTTCAGGTCCCTTTTTTGGGTGTGTCTGTCTTCTGCTATATAATAATCCCTTACATAATAGAATAGAATAATAGACGATTTAAGGTACCTTTAATTAATTAAAGCATCAAACTGGTATTTTTTAAAACAGTTCTCTTGTTCTTACACATAGAAAAATAAAATGTAACAAAATATGAAACAGTTTTTCTTTAAAAAAAACTTAAACGTAAACCCGTTATTGGACCTTATTTCCAACCATAGAGGGTACTAAGGCCCCCTTTGTTTCTGTAGTGGAAAATAAGTAAAGAAACTATTCCTTGCACTCCAGACATGTAACAGCTTCCGGATCATCTTCAGTGAGCCTCATAGGAACGACAGCTTAGGATGGCAAGAGGTAAATCATCGTTCACATAGGAATGTTCTGAACTTTCCAAATTACAGTCTGCATTAGGATCTTCTGGAAGTACGGGCTTGGTTTTCATTTCAACTTGCTTTCGTTGTTTGGAGGACGAACTGGGGCCAGAAAGATTTGATTTGAATGATTTCTTTAGACGTTTCTCGTTTGAAATCGAAAAAAAAATCTCTTGTGATCTCTTGGGCCCTGTAATACAATTATTTCATTCTGGATTTATTTCCCAGAGACCGGTTTCATATTGGCAGTGACAAGAATTTCCGTGAAACTGTTTTCTTTCTGGAGAGTAACCTTAGTGGTTATACGACTCTTTAGAACAGCAATAGGCACATCATTATCTGAGTTAGACACTTATACACACATTAATATCGAGTTCATGTTGAACTCCTTCTTACTGTGTGGGTAGACTTGGCTCATACGCGTGCTTAGGAATTACACTTTTATCAAATGGGTAAATCACTGTGGCTCTGAATTCATGTGTAATATTATTGATGGTCATACTTCTCCTCTGAACTGGTGTAAAAACTTTCTTTCTTCATTTTTCTATCTAAGAATTTGTCCCAATAACGCAACAACTCCTCATCCAAAAAATGTTCATGTGTGGTATTTGAAGGAAAACATAATAAGTGAATTCCCAGTTGGTCAGCAGCATACACAATTGAAATATCGAGATGTGACGCAGCACCGTCAAATATTAAGAGAACTGGCGGCTGAATAAACTTGGAAAGATGACTGACCCATTTAATAAATAAGGTTATGGTCATGCTACCTTTTGGAGACATCTTCAATTGAGATCCCGGAGGTAATACGACACTAAAAGTTGGTTTCAGCCTCTACCCTCTAAACAATATCATGAGTGGGATAGCATTTCCTAATGTGTTTGCTCAGGTAACAATCGTACAATTTTCAGTGTGTTCTGAAGCAACCAGGTGGATTTGCTTGTTCCCTTTTTTGGCAATGACTGTCTGTTGATGATGCAGGATTAGTCTGCATCCCTTTTCATCCATGTTTATATATTTGCCTGTTTATGTTTGAAGCCATATTTTTCGAGAACATTATCAAGTTTTTCAAAATAGTCGTTAACAATGAAGAGAATAAGCTTTGCCCCCCCTAGCAGGATTTATCGACTGGGCCTTTCTTTGAGACAAAGAAGGATATGGCTTCATAAATATTCTATACCAGTCACTTCAAGCATTTTTTTCTCATTGTTCAAAAGGGCTTTCAACATACTTGAACACACTTCGTTATAGTGCTTTTGGTGTCAAGGGAAATTCTATGTCAGAAAATGTAATGATTTTCCAAACTAAATCAATTTCTTGTACTTCATTCACGGTAGGCTTTGCTCCCAGAATTCTTTCAACAGCTCCAGTTTCAAAATGATTTTTCTAAGGGTGCGACGTGGTATTCCGCATCTTGTTTCTACATAACACTAGAATTTTCCTTGACTTAGAAACAGCATTGCTTCTTCCATCATGTCCTGTGTCCAATTGGCCCTCAAGCCGCAACATTTCTTGCCAGTATTAAGGCTCATTAAATTCAAGTGGTGGGTAATAAGGCCCAACTGATATCTGTCAGGGCCTTATTACCCACATTGCTACGAAATCATGTTGAGGATATGTTAAATAATAAAAACGAAATGTGCTATTGAATACTGCTTAGTAATTGTGTTACTGCGTAAATTAAAACTTACCTTTCTTAGAATTCTTGATGTGACCCTTTGTTTCGAATAAACGCGATCGTTCAACCATAAATTTTTATCATTTCGACCGGATAATGCACAGTCGAAAACTACCGAACTTAGTCGTATATGCCGGTTTACGTATTTAATTTAGGTAACAAACCAACACATAGGAGGCGCCATAATACCTATAAATTTATTTTATTGTTAAATGGGTGCATGGGCCGTATTACTTGCGCGGGCCTTATTATCCACTTATAATATGAATTATATATATTTATTTAATTTTCTCGCTGACAGCATCCAAAAACGGTGACAAATTGTCGGTCCGCAATCGTATTGAATACTATCTATAAATCTTCTGGATTCCTCTTGCGTCATTTATTTATAGATAAAATTTAATGACGTTTCCCAAATCATCCTGGTAGCTTCTTCAGAGCTTAACTGAAACTGGCTCACATTCTATTCTGCTTATATATTCGGGAGGAGGAACTAAAGGAGGGCTATGAATATTGTCTCAGATGAGAGATGAGTCGAATTTAAGATTGTTTGGTTGCTGATACATTTCTACAGATTCTCGGATTTTTGGTTGGTAGAAGAATTGATTACATGCAAGAATTTTAGTTTTATTGAATAAGATTTGATGTTAGGTGGAAATCTGTAAAAGCAGAGTAAACTGAGAGATTTTTGGACAAGTGATAAATGTTTTTTTTGATGTGATGTTTTGAATGTAAGGAAGGACAACAGTGGCACGTGCGGAGTTGCTTTCGGAAGATTGTGGTGAAGTGTATTTTGGGATGGAACGCTTAATATCTCAAAATTATTAAGGAGAAGAGCAAATGTAAGATGATTTACTTCTGAGTTTAGCGACTCGAGTTGAGATACTTTTACTGCTCTGTCAAAAAGAGAGTTGATAACCGATGATTTATGGGCCGGATGGTGATAAGAATATCTGGCAGATGGTAGATGGCAGATTGTTATTAGTTTTTAATACGATGATAAAACGTATGTTAGTTTGTATAGACTTTAAATAGCTAAAAAAATTTTGGAGAGATTCTTAACCACGAGACCAAATAGCAAAAGTATCATCAACATAGCGTTTCTATTATTTTGGTTTTGGATGGAAGGTGTCAATGGATTCCATAAACATATTCGCGATGACTGGTGATAATGGACAGCCTATAGCTGTTCCCGACGTTTATTGATAAATTTTACCATAACAAGAAAAATATGTTCCAGATAAGCATTTTTTTATTGGGGAGTTTGGATTTTAATATATCTGAAATAATACTGAGACTTTAGGAATAGGGGCTTTAGTAAACAGTGTTTCTGTCGAAACTAACCAGAATAATGTTTGAATTTAATGTTTTTAATTGTTCGATGAAACGAAAGGAATTAAGTACAAAAGAATTGGTTTTCCCTGTAAAGGGTTTTAATATAGAAGTTAGATATTTTGCTAGATAATATGCCGGCTAGTGAATCTTTGGAAATCTGTAAAGACGAGGAATTTTAGAGTCATGAGAAGTGACAGACTTTTTAACGGTTTCTGATAGAAAAGTAGCCTTAACAGATTTAAGGTTGAGTTTATGCGAATTTCATTAGCTGTTTGAGATGGCAGTTTGATGTCTGTAAGAACTGATTTTTCCAAATCAGAAAGTTGGTGTAATGATACATTTAGCACAGTGTTTGCTAGTTGAAAAAAGTTTGATGGTTTCACTGATGTGGACGTTAGTTTCTGAAATGTTTGAATATGATTCTGTTTAGAAAATACAGCAGGAGTTTGAGCTTTCTCATGAATCATGTTTGAAAGGGTATCGAACTTGGATGGGGACAAAATGGAAGTAATTTTAAGATGTGAACAAAGAAGAGTCTTGTTAATTTGGTGTATTTCTCGACAGGTGATTTTATAAGCAGATGAGATTTTGACATGAGGGGATATTCTAGGAAAATTGCAACGTAACAAAAAAGTCAGAGTACAGAGTAACCTTACCAGTTTCAGTCTGTAGTTATTCAATTTTCTGATTTTGCGCTTCATGTCCCCTATTGCAATGTGCAATTGAACATTTTTTTGTGACGTTCTTCGTCGCTATATGACTTCATCGCCTTCGAGGAAACCGAAGCTTTAGGAACTTTTAGGAACGATTCGAGGTCTGTAAGTCTTAAAAAATGCAATACGAAGTTTACGATATAACCATTAATATGTCCACCATCTTTAATTATCTTTGCTATGAGTAAGATCAGCCCAAGTGGACCCCCCATTTACCACTTACATATATATATATATATATATATATATATATATATATATATATATATATATATATATATATATATATATATATATACATATATATATATACATATATATATACATATATATATATATATATATATATATATATATATATATATATATATATATATATATATATATATATATATATATATATATATATATATATATATATATATATATATATATATATATATATATATATATATATATATATATACATATATATATATATATACATATATATATATATATATATATATATATATATATATATATATATATATATATATATATATATATATATATATATATATATATATATATATATATATATATATATTCTCACGTATTGATTTACGGATGGTAAAATGTGATGACACTATATTCCGGGATATCATCCGTTCGCTCGTTGAACTCCGGCTGGAATCCTGCATCCGACTGGAATCCTGCAAATCCTGCATCCGACTGGAATCCTGCAGACGTTTCGCCAAAATCTCACTTGGCATCTTCAATGCTCGCGCTCCGAAAACACTTCGAACACTCTGGAGGATTCCAGTCGGATGCAGGATTCCGGAGCTGGAGTTAAACAAGCGAACGGATTATATCCCGGAATATAGTGTCATCATATATATATATATATATATATATGTATATATATATATATATATATATATATATATATATATATATATATATATATATATATATATATATATATATATATATATATATATGTTTTATAAGTACTTATGATGGAAAATTGATCCCCCTAACGATTTTTTAAAATTTTGATTTTAATAACCTTTTTTTTATAATGGAAATTTTAAGCGCTTTTAATTAAAAAATGGATTAAAAATCAACCGTAAGAGATAAGTTTATGAAATTTTCAGCGTCCATGGTCAAATGTCTATACTATAATATAAGAATATATTAACGACTTAAAATTATTTGTTTATTTTCGTATTATTAACTACTTTTAAGTTAACAAATGAAAATTTAACTGATTTCTTGGTAAAAAAATCATGTTTTTCTATCAGTCACATGCTTTATCCATTTAAGTTTAAGATTCCGGAAGAAAATTCCACTGCTCGTCATTAGTTTAAACAAAATGAATTTATATATGACAGCGCGCCGGGCGTTATTATTTACATTATTTTATTATAATTATTATTAATAAAAATTTATTTTTTTAACAATGTTATAAAAAATGCTATCAATTTTTTTGATTATTTTTACCAAACAGCGTAAATTAAAAAAAATAATAATCAACTTTAAATTTTTAAAACTGTTATGATCTATATTTATTTTTTTCTAGGTAATTTAGTAAATTATTATTTTTAACAACACTCGTAAATAAGTAGTAAATAAGAAACCATTTTAGAAGTCATTCCCGTCTATTCGTGACATAAGTGGCTACGCAAAGTATGAAATAATTATTAAAAATAAAAGCTGAAGTGTTGTTGAGTTGTGTTTTTTTAGTTAATATTTTAGTATTATAATTTTCAATTGTAATAATAATATTTTCTCTGATTTAAAATGGGCCGAGTGAATTATGAAATTATGTAATTAAAAAATTAGTTTTAATTATTATTTACATATAATTTTGCCAATTTAGTTAATCATAAAAATGATTTTCGTGTTGATCCTGATTGGACTTTTTTCGATACATCTCATGGCAAAGGAGCGTGTGATGGCTTAGCAGAGAGTGTAACAAGACAAGCTTATCGTGCTACTCTCCAACGTGATAAAAACAACCACATAACAACCCCACTTTCCTTTTTTCAGTAGGCCCAAAGTTCTTTAAAAAAAATACCAACCACGATTCGAACGCTTAACTACAATAAAAAATACTAGCCAATTTCATTATTACAAACCATTGGAAAATTTTTCACTAGCATGCGGGTTCGTTTCAGAGGATTAAAAAGTATTTATTTAAAAAAAAATAAGTTTTAGAAAAAAAAAAATAACTGACAAACAAATTTACAATTTAATTATTTAAGCTTGTTTGTTCTATTCAGTATGTTGTGATTGTTAATATTAATATAATTATAATAAAATAACATAAATAATAACAAAATATGTTTTATAACAATATTTTGTATTATTATTTTAAATTATCACTGATAAAGCCTTCAATGCTGTTCGAGACTTCCACAATTCCAAAATTTAAAAAATTCGTTTGAGGGATCAATTTTCCATCATAAGTACTTATAACAAAATATATATAGATTAATTTTTTATGATAAAGTGGTAAATGGGGGTCCACTTGACGTGATCTTACTCTATGGCAAATTTACACTTGACTACTCGTGCGCATTAGGGAACGAAATATAATCGAGACTTCGTCACTTTTCCTATTTTGCCAAAACTATTCACCCGCCGCCGAAATTAGAGTCCGCCTTCGTCGCTGTAGCGGACGAAATGAAAAAAAAACGCCTTTGAGAAACAATTCCTAAATTTCTCAAAATTAACGTTTTAACGAATTTCCGACGAAACTGAAACAAACTAAAAAGCTACAGTTTCCACGTGCCGGGAACTATTCGCGTCGGTGCGTTTCGATTTAAATTTTAAATTAAATTTGTCCCTTTTGCACCTGGAAAATTAAACCGGGAAACTAAAACAAAAACCGTTTGAAACTTACCGTCGCCAATTTATCAAACCTCGCGAACAGTTCGTTTAAAATCTTCACCAATTCTTGGGCGGTGCACTTCGTCGCCAGCACTGAAATTGTTTGAAATTAGTTCGTTTTTAAGCGATATATATTTTTTAATTGTTGAGCCTCACCGGTGAAGCCTTTTATGTCGGCAAAGAGTATGCTGACGTTCTCGTAACGGTGAATGTAAATCTTGTGAAATTGGTGGGGTTGAAATCCGGCGCCACGTTCCTCCCTCTCGATAATATCCCTGATCATTTCCTTGGCGACGAAATCCGGCAATACTGCAACCGAAAATTCGGTCGAATTTTCTCCAGAAAGTATTGCCAAATTTTGGTTATACGTTATTACGATTTTAACAGGAGTGGATTCTACGAAAGCGCAGAAAGGCTACCCAAAAATAAAATATATATAAATTTTAGAGGAATGAGTCAGAATTTCTGAAAAACAATCCTGACACAAATCAGAATTTCTGAGAATTACGTCTGAATTTCTATGAAACGTCCCAGTTTCTAACCGAAGTCAGAATTTCTGAGAAACAAGACAGAATTTGTGACAAAGTCAATCTTTAAATTGGAAGTACTAGACACCAAAATATTATGAATGAATCTGTTGAATATCGTGGGGACTACGAGCAGTAACGACATCCCGATTAAACTTTCAGAGCCAAATGAAATATATCATCACTTTATTAATTCTACACCAACGCTCTGCACTACAGCAAACGTCACAAAGTAATATGAAAATAGTGCTATGAACAATGAGTTCAAATGAAACTTGTTTCTAAATTTTAAATTTCACACTACTGGGCTCAAATAAAAACGAGAATTGTAGGTTCAGATGGCATACATGTAGATTTCGTAATCTTTTGCTGTCCATTTTTCTTAAAATACATTTACTACATTGTTAATTTCTGTATTGCCATTTGCTAGGAAATGGAAACTATCAACGTTGCGCTTCCGAAAATCCAAGACCGATTTCTATTGTTATCAAAGATAATTGAGAGGGTACCGAAGTGTCGATATGTAGAGCGCGAAAATTTAATTGATCAAACTCAGTAGGGTGTTAGAAGAGGTCATAGTTTTACTATAGTGTTACTCAATGTTACAGACCATATCTATAACGCTACAGATCAGGGAAACTGTACGGCGTTGGTTCTGCTTGACTGTTCAAACGCTTTTGAGACAGTGGCCACAGTACACTGCTTTAGATATTAAAATATCTCGATTTTCACGTTGTTGTAAAAGGTATGACGTTTAAGACTAAGCTCAAGGATCTATATTAGCACCGATTCTTTTCATTCTTTATACTTCGAAAATGAAAAACTTTTCAAGAGCAATTTTGCACAATTTGCTGACGACACTCAAGTATACTACTCGATCTCGTCTACAACATTTCGCGAAGGATGAGAACTAATAAACAATGATTTAGAGATAATTAGGAGTGAACATTCCCTGCAATGAAACCCGGAAAAATCTGTTGTTGTGATGTTTCATCGGGCGGCTCGTGAAACGTTTAACTCCAGACGTATGTATTCGAATTGGAAACCAGGAACTACTGTTGCATGTTGTATGTATACAGAAAAGCATAGGTCGATTGAGAGGGTTACATAGGTCAAGACATATACTTAGTCATGATATAAAAGAAATGTTGTGTGATTTTATTGTGTTGTTTATTTTTAATTACTTTGATATAGTGTATGGACCAAATGGAAAAAATATAAAAGTGCTGCTTAAGATTTATATATGGTACACCGCGGAGAAGGTCCGTTAGTCACAGGTTAATAGATACTGCCCATACTAATTGCTAAATTTAAATACCCAAAATATCTTTTTCTGAAATTAAATTTGTTACCGATGTTAATACCCTAAATTTAAGGTTAAATAGTATTATCCCTCTCCATCGCTGTGCTATGTCTGAGAGGTCATTTACGTATGTCGTCGCGGTTGCTCAATCCCAACTTTTAGCTTGATATTGATTGTATTATATAGCGATTTTTAAAAAAATGAAATTATTTTGCCGGGATAACTGTAAATCAGTTGAACTAACTTATGTTGGGTTAGTTGCACTCTCGCCCTTTCAACATCTGTATATGTTTCTATATATATTTTAAATAAAGTTTATGATTATTATTACTACTATTATCATTATTATCTATTATGATCTATATATCTATATATCTATCTATCTATCTATCTATCTATCTATTATGATATATTATTATTATAATTAATGAGCTCAACATGTAGCGTACAAATCGTTTCGGAGGGCGTTTAATGTCTTTTAATTTTATTATGAATTTTTTCATCGAAAACTTTTTATAGTACCATCATTCTGAATTTTGAATCTATTAATATTGTTGAGGTGAATATTATCAATATTTTCGTCATATCTAAAATTTGGCTGGATGAAATTGTACAATCTGTAATTTTGCTTGTACCAGGATGTCAATTATTAAGAGCTGATAGGCAAACAAAAGATGGAGATGCAGCTATATTTCTGGAGTATGTCGGAGTATGTTGGTGTTGTGTTATCAGTATCTTAGAAACTTATATGTCGACGATTCTGCCTTTTTGGTGATGTAAATATTGATCTTTAGAACTGTAAGCTGAGTGGTTTTCAAGACAGGTAGCAAATCTCATTAGCTTTTTGGAGACAGTCAATTTAACTCAATTAATTAATGAGCCAACACGAATAATTAAAGATACGCAGATTTTATTGGATGTCATTTAGCTCCAATATTAATGAAATGCTTAAAATTTTCAATAGTATTTTGAACCTAGTTTTTGAAATTTGCACGGCCTTAAAGACGGCTCGCCTTTACAAAACCTCCAGCTCCATGGCTTACCCCAGTGATTAAAAAGACTATCTCTATTAGCTAAGTTGAAGCTTAGAAAACACACTGCTCATTGGGATTTTTACCAAAATCTTCAAAACTATACTAGGCAATCTATGAACAAAAAGATTTTATGGATTTTGTTCTGAAAAAGAAATGCATTAAGTGGAATTGTCTTAGACACCCAGGAGTAATAAATAAATAAAATAAAGCTTTCACCATGTCACCTGGTCAATCTTAAAAATCTTATACAAATCAACCATAACTTTATTTTTACGCCTTGGTTTCTAAAACTTAATCACAACTTCACTATTTAAATAAATACAAAAAGCATAATTTAAATCCCAATATAACTTTAAGTTTTAATGAGGTTAGTAAGGCTGATACTAAAAAATGTTTGAAAACTGTGTGCATGTGTGTGTGTGTGTGTGTGTGTGTGTGTGTTTGTGTGAGTGTCTGTGTGTGTGTTTGTGTGTGTGTGTGAGTGTGTGTATGTATGTGTGTGTGTGTGTGTGGGTCTGGGTGTGTGTTTTACAACAGCAATGCTCTGGGTTTAACAATTTATCGCTTGCGATCCCTTTTCAAAAAATTTCAAACGCAGTGACAGATTACAATTACGACCAATTAGTATCTCACCTACTACCTCCAAGGTTTCAGAAAAAAGTACGCTAATAAGTGACTAGAACAAGATTATCCAGATTATCCGGTTTCCGTAAATCATTTGGAAATGTTACTCCGTTTGTCGAAGTAAACGAATTTAAATGTCTTGTCTTATTCTGCTAGAATACGGCAGAGCTTTAGATATTGTCGATATTGGAATTCTTTGTCAAAGGTTTTTTTTGTTTTCAAGATAGGTCCACTAAATTCTTCTTAACTTCTCTTTTATTTTGAAACATGTATCTATTAACAATTCTGACGATTCTTTACTATTTTACTCTTTTCAAGCAAATAAAGTATTTGACAGGAAATAAATTCTCTACTCGATATCTTGAGGTCATATTATTCGAACCACAGAAACAGGTAGACTACATCAGAAAACGTACAAGTTTGAAACTGAAGCAAAAATTCTGGGTCTTTCGAAGGATACTGACAAACGATTTACAAGACATGTCAATTGACTCTGTTAATACTTCTATGGATTGCTTAAGAGACTCTATCCAAATTGTGAAATAATGGGCTCCAACTTTAAAATAATGTGTGGGTGAATAATTAATGATATCCAGGCTATCATATGCTGATTCAGTTTATGGTCAGTCAGTTATGGAAAGTTCAGATTTTCTTAGAATATTAGAAAATATGACCTTCACCTCTATGATTTTACTTGCAAAACATGAAAAACTAATCAGAAGTCTTATTTGTCTAAAAAGCTTGTATCTTTTAGGTAGCAGGTAGTGTTTTTTTTTTAATTTATTTGTATGAAAAAGATTAAGTTTAAAAGCTCCCTTTGGGTGATAATTCTATTATTTTTCATTTGCCATGGTTAAATTGTTAAAGTTCTTGATTTTTGGATAATTTAGATATAATAATAATAATTATTATTATTATTATAAAAATTGGCAGTTTATTTGGAAGTTGCTTATAGAGGGCGCTAGTTTCCCTATAATATTTGGATAAATCGAATCATATTTTTTTATCTGTTTATCAATTTTTCATACAAATGTCGTCTGTAGGTTTTTGACTAATTTGCATTTAAAATGTTGTTAAGAACAAAAAATATTGAACAATAACAATTTCGTTAGTAGTAACTAAAAAACTTCAAATCAAATGTTGGCATTTCATAATATTTTGGGTGGCTAATCCAGTTTAGAGATTGTCCATTATTTATGCATTACCCTATATATCTGAAGTTTCGATTCGCAATATCCCTTCCGATTTAAGTGAAAAAATATGATTTGTTTATCATAAATTCTGACTTGTTTCTGGGATATTCTGACTTAATTAAGAAATTTTGACTTATTTCACAAAAATTTGGAGAATTAAGCTACAACCTATATTATGTTTTATGAAGCGTTGCCGCTTTCGTAGGATGCTCTTTATCTAGGTTTCTAGGTTCGTGAAAATTGTTAATTAATTTGATAGGTTAAATAGGTCGTATCAAGAGCTGAATCTTACTCAAGGAGACCTGATAAACTGGCAAACGGCAATGTTTATCCAAGCAATATCACCTTGACATTCTTTTAACATGCCGCCAGAAAGAAGCAAAACCGTTTATTTAAAGTAGCAATTTATTTGACACAAACCAGCAAAAAATTAAAATTCCCTTTTCGAAACTGTCGTTAATCTCAAACTAACAACGTTGCTTTTATTTCTTCCGCTTTGTAAAGCATCCCCAAACTAGGATGATAAGTGTTTATAATTACAGAAGGCATTAAATGTTTGACCGGAATCTATACTTGCTCTATTTGGTTAGTTTCTGCTATTTTGTAATAACCTCATAATGGGTGTTTTTTTTTTTTCGATGTATAGAACTTTAAGTTGGCATTATTGTTCAAGATGGCGACCGATGTAACAGCTGTCAAATGATTTATTCTCAGTTTGGTTTGGCAATTCATCATGAATAGACTCCTGAACAACGCTTGCAAATAGTGCAATTTGTTCGGAATACGTATCGCGCACTATGTCCATTTTATCGTCGACAAAATCGTCCATCAGAGCAGTTAATTCGATTAACCATGGAACGTTTTCGCACCACGTTTACTCTTATTGATAACTTGCATCCCCAGAGACGTCGTACGGTGCGTACAGAAGAAGCTATTGCTGCTGTAGAGCGTAGCATTGAGGAAGACTCGAATGAGTACATCCGCCATCAAGCACAGGAATTGGATCTGTGTCCATCTACTTTATGTAAGATTTTGCGAAAGTATCTTGGTTTACGTGCTTACAGAATCCAACTTGTACAAGAACTGAAGCCAAACGATCATCAAGTAAGGCGTAGATTCGTCGAATGGGCCCAAAACGAGATTGCTGTTGTTCCCGATTTTCATAAGCGAATTTTGCTTAGCGATGAAGCGCATTTCTGGTTAAATGGCTACGTCAACAAACAAAACTGCCCCATTTCGAGCTAAGCTAATCCTCAAGTGTATGTCGAAACACCGGGCTGGTGGAATCATTGCTCCGTACTTCTTAAAAAACGATAATGGGCAGAACGTTACAGCCAATGGTGATCGGTATAGAGCTATGATTACTAACTCTTTCATTCCGCCTAATTTCACGTTTTGGACCTGTGAATTGGCCTCCAAGATCTTGTGATTTAACACCGTTAGACTACTTTCTGTGGGGCTATGTAAAGTCATTGGTCTATGCGGATAAGCCACAAACGCTTGACCATTTGGAAGACAACATTCGGCGTGTTATTGCCGATGTACGGCCACAAATGTTGGAAAAAGTAATCGAAAATTGGACGTCCAGATTGGACTACATCCGCGCCAGCCGTGGCGGTCATATGCCAGAAACCATATTTAAAATGTAATGCCACAAGATTATCTTTCGGATAAATAAACTTCATGTCAATCGAATAGTCCATCGTTGTTTTATTGTAACTTAAAGTTCTATACATCGAAAAAAAAAACACCCCTTACTTGCCCACAAATGAAACAAGTAGAGCACACGTATACTCCCAGTTTTGGAGATGCTTTGAAAAGTGAAAGAAATAGAAGCAACGTTGTTAATCTGAGATTAATGAGAATTAATTAACGCCTTTTGTAATTTCTAGGGTGTCATGCCGTTCATTATCTTCACGGCTTGTGAACGATTTGTCCGGTTTATGATATCAATCTTACTGCCAGTCTGATAAGCAGATACTACTTTGGCATATTTCTATATACTCGGGAGGTGGGTGCCCTTCTTTCAAATTGTGATTAAAGATTAAGAATAAAGATAATATCAAATCTTCCCGCACAATATTAAAACCTGTGCGGTCTAGGATCTCTATTTATATCTAGTAATTTAATTACCTTTCAATTTTATATAATGTACACGGTATGCTATTTGAAAAAATAAAACTTTGATAGTTTTTGTGTGTTACGCCAGGATCAAGGAATAAATTGATCCAGAGATACGGAGATTTCGCAAACTGCAACCACAATTTCAATTTAGTTAAAATAACTGCCGAGCTAGACTGTTACTAGTATCATTTTATGGAAAAAAGCACAACTAAATTATTATTAGAACATATTAAGCAAAAATAATCACAAGCCAGCAGTGAATTTCAAATTGTAGTTCATCATTGTTGCATCATCTATTTTAGTTCGACACTGACTAGTACCGAATTTTCCAAAAAATCATCACGTGCACTTGTTCCACACTGTTTATGACAAATACTTACCAGACAACAGCAACTTTTCTTGTTTATCATTCTCCGCTTGCGTCTTGTACCTGGTCTCCATCGATCTGTAAGTTTCTAGAAAAGCTTTTCGTTGGCTCCGATCCGTGAGGTATTTGGTGTAAAACCCGGCGAAATTCACACACGTGTAGAGCACTATATTCGCGATTATCATTTTTATCTTGCATTCTTCGCCCAATTGCGTCTGAAGCATAAGAAAAACATTCATAGTATCAACCGTACCTAAAAAGCGGGAAATTAAATATTACTGTTAAACAAAAATTTTGCAATATAGTGATAACTTTAATGTTAGTTCTTTAACTGCTCACTTTTTGGATATCAAAGATTTAATTATTTAATTTAATTATCACATAGTTAGTCGAAATTAAGGGTTGTAATTTAATTAGGAAAGACCGTATAGATCGAGCTAGAGGCGACCTAGCCATTTATGTTCGTATTGATATAAAAGCTTCAAAATATTATGTTCACGTTGGTGATAATAACCTACTAGAGAATTTGCTGATCAATTTTAGTATTAAAACATTCTCTGTAATGGTCGGAGTTGTTCAGAGTGTTCTCTAGGGGAAAGCGTAAACTCGTATCATACAATATTATCTGAAGTTACACCAACATTTGACTGCACAGTTATGTAATGTAAATGTGAACTCAATGGATCCTTTAAATCCTACCAGCAGCTGTTTTGACTGTTATAATATATCGCAGGTAATTAATGAACCTACAAGGGTCACTAATTTCTGATCACAGTTTGGTGTTTTGTGAGCTCTCACAGTTAAATCTCGAAAACAAAGAATGTGTGTTTACAGATGCTACGAGCATTTCGACGACCCGGCTTTCTACTAAGAATGAACAAAATTAAAAGGAACGAACTCTATTATATGAATGACATTAATAGCAAAATTGAGTTTCTTACTAAGAATTTGGTTAAAATATTCGATCTGTGCGTTCCGTGAGACTGAGTAAGCCTCATGCCCCTTGGCTTACGTATACTCTTAGGGAAATATAAAATATAAAAATAAATAGAAAACTATAAATAAACTGAATAAATCAGTTTGCAATTGGGATACCTATAAGCACCTTCGCAATTTTGCTTTATCCTCGTTGAGGCGTGAAAAAGCGGCGTATCTGAAGTTTGTCGGGTCTCAGAAAACTCTGTGGAAACTTTTGAAATCTGCACATATTCTCACTCAACCAAGACTGGAGTTACCAAATAACAAGCAGGATTGTGACGCGCTAAATAAATATTTTCTTGCGGCTTTTTCGGGTACACAGGCAGATGCCGAATTGATCAAACGTTTTCAGACTACGCGACATAACGCTTCTGAGGTTCACTTCCCTACAGATTACGAAATAAAGTCAGCTATCTGTAGTCTTAAATCAAACGCTTCGGGAATTCATTCATTCGGGAGTTTACCAAAACTACTTAACCATATAACCCACATAGTAAATTCATGCTTCAAGAATAGTTACTTTACAGTCTGCTGGAAGACTGCTGTTGTGTGTTTCCCATTCCTAAAGTAAGTTTCCCTGAATTGCCGATTAGCTTACTACCTGTGTTGTCTATTTACAGCTCTATGAATTTATTAAAAATAATGACATTGCATCTGTTTTTCAATCGGTTTTCCGTCCGGGACACAGTACTACAACAGTTGTGTTAAATGTGAGAGATCGAATTTTTCAGAGTTCAGATGACAAACTTGCGACCATACAAATTCCACTCGACTTTCCTCAAGCTTTTATGCGCTAATTTGCAATATTTTATAATATTTTATTTTATCTGACGGTCAACTGACCTTCATTTAAAACTGCTTGCAAAATAGAAGACAAGTTGTTAGGACGACAGCTGGTGTTGCGACAGCGAATGTTGATGAAGTGGAATCAGGAGTGCCTAAAGGATCAATCTTGAGCCGCTATTATTTTTACTGTATATATTTCATTTGCCAACCTCAGTCATATGCTGACAAAACCCAGCTTGTTTATTTTTTTGACCCATCATGTATAACAATTCAATAATTCCTCTCTACTTTTTATAGTACACTTGGTCAGAATCAATGTTAACTAGAAGTAAATATTGGATTTTCTTGACTTCTGTGAAATATATATAATTGGTTGTTAATTTCCAAATGATAAATCAATTCTTAATATCAATCCCTAGAAAATGATTCTTGAGTTTCAAAGATGGTTAAAACGCCTACTGTTCAAAATAATGTTACATCTAATTTTACATCTTTTAAAATGTTTATCAATATGGTTAAGGAACTAGTGAGATTATGGATAGGAAAACCTTATGCAAACTACCGTTCTGAAAGATATAATAGTGGTATATTATTATATTTTTTCAGGATTTACCCTATGTGCCATTTAAAATATGAAATATTGGTTTGAATTCAATAGAAATACCAAGATATTATCCAAGTTCAGTTGTTTGCATTTCTTGCTTACACAACGTTATATATATATATATATATATATATATATATATATATATATATATATATATATATATATATATATATATATATATATATATATATATATATATATTCTCACGTATTGATTCACGGATGGAAAAATGTGATGACACTATATTCCGGGATATCATCCGTTCGCTCGTTGAACTCCGACTGGAATCCTGCATCCGACACTGGAATCCTGCAAATCTTGCATCCGACTGGAATCCTGCAGACGTTTCGCCAAAATCTCACTTGGCATCTTCAATGCTCGCGCTCCGAAGTGTTCGAAGTGTTTTCGGAGCGCGAGCATTGAAGATGCCAAGTGAGATTTTGGCGAAACGTCTGCAGGATTCCAGTCGGATGCAAGATTTGCAGGATTCCAGTCGGATGCAGGATTCCAGTCGGAGTTCAACGAGCGAACGGATGATATCCCGGAATATAGTGTCATCATATATATATATATATATATATATATATATATATATATATATATATATATATATATATATATATATATATATATATATATATATATATATATATATATATATATATATATATATATATCATTATTCAGTGCATTCTAATTTTAATTCTAAGGCGAAGGGGCTTACATACTAGACTACTGCGTTCAACCGTGGAGTTTGGAGCAGTCCATGCGTAATGTTGTTCTGTTAGGATACTAACATTGGTATGCTCTATTAAGGGTTGCCAGATGCTAGGCATTTCCACACTTGGATTGCTAAAGGGGTTTTCCATTGCGGTTCGCTATGGACAACCCGGGCTTCCAAACATTTGATATTGTGCTGTCCATACATGTTCCACGATTCCTCTGTGTTTCACCCCTCATTGTGTGTTTCCTATGTTCGTGAATTCCTACGTTCAAAGGTATTTATGTTTCTCCGATATATGGTATTCGGTAGATACGCTATTACTCCTGAGTCGGTGTTTCTGAATTTGTTTTTGTAAGTATGATAGTTCTGCTTTTGATTTCCGTCTACAATTTATGTAGCTATTGTGAAGCAAATTAGTTTTATTACTGCTTAATTGTGGTTGCTCTTTTGTAGAATGTTTGGATGCTTATTAGTTTGGTTGCTTCAGAATGGTTAGAGTACAAATTTATATACTTTTTATGTTTAGGCTTCTAGATAATACTTAGAAAGGATAGGCAGCCATGATTTTAATTGATGTTTTCAAAGAATTAAGATGATTGAGAAAAGAATCTATCTAACGTCATGTATCGTCAATATATCCAAGTCAGATACTAAGTATATATGCGCTATGTATAGATTCGCTAGCAGAGAAGAGAGCCCATCATCTTGTGTCTAAAAAATACTCTTTGCGTTGGAGGTAACAGTTATGCACGCCCAAGGAGCTCCATCACTCCCTCCAGGGGCAGCGAAGTTCTGTCTGGAAGTGTGTATCATTACTCAATCAGGTCTCTACAATGTCTAATGATTCCTCCAAGGGCAAGTTGGTGTATAAACTTTATCTGAACTACATAATTTTATCTTATTTTTAAATATCTACCAAATGCCCGAATTTCTTTACAAATGAAGGAGTTTTTCCCATCAGAGGCGAACGAAGGACAAATCTGGTTGCGGAATCCCTAGTCGGACTGAGTTCTAATATTATCCAGAATATTGGTGCAATGCTCAATAGATTCTTCCTTGAATCGACTTAGTAGGGTCACTAGAAATGGTATGTGGTTGCCTTGAGCAAGCGTTCCTTTCATTTTGTGGTCGTATTCCTGCACATCCATAATGATTGTTGCGTTGCCATTGTCCACTGGGAGAGTCTTCATGTTCACGTACTATTGTGAGTCCTTGATGGCCGCCTGCTTCTCTTTGGTGGTATCAGTATTTTTTCTTCTCTTCTCCAAAATAGTTTGTTGCTGTTTATTGTCTCAGGCAGTTGAATTTCAAATTTTAGCAGCTTTGTCTTATTATTCCTCTAAAGTCCTTCTCTGATTTTGGCACAAGCTTTATAGATATTCTCGAGTATGTGGTCTTCCATTTCTTTCATCTATGGTAATTAATTTAAGGCCTTATGCATGGACCGAATGATACAACATCAATTGGTTCAAAGCTGGAGTGGTCTACAGGGAAATGCTTTTGAAAAAACGATAGTTTAAGAATAGTGGAAACATCTTTAGCAATCCAAGCGTGGAAGTGCCTACAATCTGGCAACCTTTAATAGAGCATACCAATGTTGGCACCAACCTCACGCTTGACTGCACCGGACTAACGGACGTCACAGGTAGTTTTTTTTCAAAGAAACTTCCACACATACTATTTATATCTACCATCTGGATTAATCCTGCGTCGGCTGTTTATAAATCAAGCTTGGCCATCGTCCTGTGGGCAAGCAGAAGTATGAATATTCTCTCCGATGATTTATTCCCATATTGGTGAAAGGTAAAGATCTGAGTCGTGGTTCAGATTGTTTAGTTGCCTATGCTTCTCTATACATTCGCGGATTCTTGTTTGGTAGAAGAATTGACTACATGCAAAAATTTTGGTTTTATCGAATAATATGTGATGTTCGGTTTCGCGATTGTGTTCGGCAACTTCTGATGAGTTGATTTGTAGTAGTCCTAAGGGTCTTTCATGTTATTGGGCCCTAGGTGATATTTTTCATCCGGTCTCTAAAATATATTCTTTGCCGTATATGCATGGAATGCTGTAAACGAAATTTTATCTTTGATGGATCGAAGATGTTGAGAGATTTTTGA